AAATATTAAGTACTTATAATATCCTTTAGTTGTTAACTCAATTCAAAATTTAAAAGATATCCAAAAAAAAAAAAACATATATATGTGGTATATTTCAGTGGTATTATAACTGGAAAATACCACTTGAACATCTAAGTGTAGATTTTTAGAAAAAAAAAATTCAAAAAAATTAAAATTACAAGATTTTTTGGCATTTTTTGGTACGTGTAAAAATCGTTATTTTTTTGTTATAGTCATGTTATTCCTAACACATTTGCAAAATTTAGAATCACTTCACAATCATTAAAATTTCAAAAATATTAGCAGAATATAATTATGTACAAGAATAAAAAAAAAAAAAAGTCTCTAATTGTGCAATTTCACATTCATATCATTATTTTTGTTACTAACAGACGAAATTATCAAAGTCACCCCGCGTATCAAAGTCACCCCGTTCTACGGTACAATAATTGTTTATGATTGCGATGTATGATCTTTTTTTTCTTTTTATAACTCACTCCTACATCGGACCAATAAAACATATATTTTTGGAAATAAGAAAAAGTTTACTTCAGAACCAGTGGGGGATTAAAGCATTTTGGACAAAGGCAGTGACAGATCCAGCATTTTTTAGGATTTGAAATTTTGTAACCTCCTCAAATTGAGGGGGGAGGGGGGGAGGGTGTAAACTTTACATGGTCATAATTTTTAAACGCTGAGAGATAACACTATGGTACGTAAGATTTATTGGTGAATAAAATTCGAGTTGAGAAAACTACAAAAAAAATTTTATGAACTTGTTGCTCTAACGTTTGGGGTGCGGAAAAGGGGATGAAATTTTATGGCTTTTTGTTTCCAGTCTCCAATCATTGCAAATTTTTGCAAAGCGTCATTATTTGACATAAGTACAAGCATACAAAAGTTTGCTCCATGTCTGAAAGTTAGCTATCTCAAGCACCATAAAATGCTGGATCCGTCACTGATAGACAGAGATACTTAAAGGGCTCCGTTAATGCAAATGATAAAAGAAAAAAAAAAAAAATAGAATTTAGAGCATCCAAACATTCGACTTTTCTATTACTCATTTTTTGACTAGTGAAATCATGAAATATTTGGTTAGGAGTCGTCCATAAAGTACGTACGCCAGAAAATTTTTGCTAATTTGCCCTTTTGCTAATTTAAGGAGCTTTTTATTTTAGCAAAACCTAGCGGTAAAAATTGGGAGAATTTGAGACCCATATGACACTTTTTTTTTGTCGACTCAAAAAAATAGATTGCCTGAAATACGCCTTAATACACCTGAAATACTCATGGCCAGTATATAAGGGTGGCATGTGTGCATGGGCGCCCGCAGGATTTTTTGATATTCTAGATAAGACACTTTCACACATTTGGCATACGTATACTTAATTTTAGAGCGAAATAAGGAGGTCTTGCAAAAAAATGGAATGGCGGAGGCCTGAGAATAAAAAAACTCTAAAACGCTTGCCCTCCCCTGCCCAAGTGTGAGGGCACTTATGTAGTAAAATTTAAACTTTAACGTTCAAAACTAAATTTAAATTTATCGACAGAATTTAAATTTCGTAGGAAATTATTGTAAATTACAAAAGTTATGACCATACAAAATTTACTTCCCCCTCCTTTTTTTTGGGGGGGTAGGGGGATGGTTAAGGCTTTTTTGCTCCCAGACATTTGCCTTCTTAATTTTTTGAAAGGCCTCCTCATTTGGCATAGGTATAAATATACTTAAATTTGGAGTTTGCACAATGCGTGAAAGTGTTCTATCTGGAATATCAAAAAATCCTGCGGGCCCCCATGCATGTGTTAAGGTAAACTATACCCTCTACTCCATATACCAAACATCTTTTTATGTTGACAAACTAGGATCTTTAGTCAGGTTTTAATTTTTCTATTGATTAGCTGGTTAATTGTGATAAGTTAGAAAATCGATCTACGTATTTTAAATTGAACCCCCCCCCCCCATACGCCTACGTACGCTTTTTGATTACCTCCCCCTCCCCCTTATGAGCGTACGTACTTTATGGACGACCCCTTATTCGAATATATTTGACAAAAATATAAGGAAATATATTAACAATTTTACAAACTATATTTTGTTTTAGAATTTCAAAAGAGATGTTTTATACAACAAACAAACAAACAAATAAAAAATTAAATAAATGGCATTTTTAAGTAAATAATTATGAATTATATTATGTTGTTTAATTTATATTTAAAAAGCCGTATTGTAGTATAAAGATTTTTCTCTTTTTTTTGTCTTACTTGATCCAGCGACAAAAACATGTTCTGCGAATGTTGATGTTGGTTTATCAGAAGCACATTAAAAAGAATGTCTAATAAAGCGGTTCTTTTTTTCAAAATAAATCTAATTGTCGAAATTTGAAATTTCGTTAACAACTATACACAGTAAAATTTTACTGAACAGTAAACCTTAATAGGTAATGTATTTTTTGTAAATATACTTTTTAAATTTTAGTTTGTTTACAGCAAGCGCTGTAACCACTGCGCCACGGCCGCAAAGTTTATTTTGTATCTTAACTCTCACGGCCGCAAGTTTATTTTGTATCTTAAAAGTTCTCAATGGTAAGATTTCCCGTAGTCTACTGCAAGTTTCTTTAGAACAACATTATTTTGATTTGGTAATATATACATTCAACAACAACCACAAGCAAGTCTCTTGTAGTCCAGTGGTGCGACGGAGTTGCGACAGACTTGTGACGGACTTGCGTATATTTTTTTAAATACATTTTAATAGGCAGCACTTTATATTTACTTTATTATAAACAACGAATTTTTAAATTAATTATTTTAACCCACTGTCAAGCATACGTGCGCATAACTTTTTTTAGGCATTGTGTCATTTACATAAATCAAGAACAAAAGTGGGCCTTGAATGGAACCTTGCGGAACACCACAGGATATTTCTAGCAAATTTTTTTTATATACGCTATTATAATAAGCAAATTGTTTTCATTTTGATAAATAGCTTCAAAAACATTGTAAAACTCTGTTATCTACTACGTAATGTTTAAGTTTATGGAGCAAAGTATCGTGTTTTACAGTATCAAACGCTTGAGTTCGGTCAACAAAAATGTCTAATGTAAATTGAAAAATTTGGAAAGAATTGGAGATTTCAAAGATGATTGACTTTAGATTTTCGAAAGAATGGGAGATTATAATTCTATTATAAAGAACTTATATATATAACCAGGGCTGTGGAGTCGGAGTCGGAGTTGCGGAGTTGCGACACAAAATCGCGACTCCGACTCCATTAGTAAAACTTCTCGGATTTGCATGTGCATGTACAAAACATTCAATTAATCTTATGTTCATACTAAACCTCAAAAAACGTTTCATAAATTTGTTAAAAAAAAATTTAAACTTATGGCGTAATATTTTTGAAAGAACTCAAAGAATTTTCAAAAATTTTGCTTTGAAGTTGGAATCGGAGTTGAAGTCGGAGTCGGAGTCGGAAAAATTTCAACAACTGGGGTTGGAGTCGGAATCGTTACTTTTTTTTTACGACTCCACACCCGTCTATACAACATTTATTTTAGATAATCACTAGATACCATATTATTTCATTATTTGAAAGAAGAAATTTATATAAAAGAAATTAAAAAAGAAAATGTTAAAGATTAATTTGAAAAGAAAATAAAGAAAAAAGATATAAATTTAAATATTGCATTTTTTTATTTATTTTATATCTATTATTTTTTACAGTGATATAAATTTGATACATTAGTTTCTTTAATTCTGAAAAAGACAGTATGTAATAGTGTTAACTTTTTACCAGGGTATTGACCTAAATTTTATTTACTTAATTATAGCAATATATAAGTGTAAAGAAATCGTGTGTGCGACACTTCTTAAAAGTCAAAAAAAAATTTTTCAAGAATTATCGTTTAAATTTAAAATTGAAATATCACATATTTTAAAACATGTAAATCCAGCTTAATGTCAATAAAAAATCATAACACTCATAATAAAAAAGTAAAAAATTACAATATTTAATAATATCTACTATGCTTGGATAAAAACCAAATAATAAAACTAAAAACATCTGTTAAAAACTTTTTAGGCATTTACTGTGTTTTGTAAATTTAAATTAATCAACCCTTAACAAGTTTTTTCACACTTAGCACATTCTGTGGTTTTTTCAAAATGTAAACGTCTCCTAAAAGGTTTTTTGAATTTTTTAAGCAATTTTTATAATTTGGTTGGTTAATTTCAATTTTGTTTAATAATCAATTTTGTTAGTTAATTTTAAAAAAAGTAATTTAGTTTAATTTATTTTTCCTTTCAAAAATTTGTAACCTTTAAAAATAAACAGATTTTTAATTATTATCAACTATAGCGCAAAGCTATTTTTTCAACATGTTAAAGAGATAACCTTATGAAATTTTACTTTTTCAGCATATTAGCAACTAATCTACTGAAACCTTACTTTTTTTTAAAAGACTTTAGAAGATAACTGTCTAAAGTTTTAATTCAAATAATTTTTTGTCAGTTTGAAAATAAATTCCTTAAGTCTATGGGAACAGTGTTAATTTTTTTAATTTTGTTAATAAAATAAATTTATCAATTGTTCATATAAAAAAAAAGGTTAAAAACCGTTTATAAAAAAAAGTTTAAATTGTATGTAATAAAACTTTTTAGTTGATTTTCAACTTGAAATTCAAAATTTTATAAAGTTCCAAAAATCATAAAAAAGAAAAAAAATTTAAGTTAAAAATAACGCAAGAAAGTATGACCAAGTATAATCATTTGATTTTTGAAATAAGTTCTTTACTTTACTGCGTTTAACATACAAAAGTGGTTAGCGCTGCAGGGTGCCTGGGCGGCGATTTAGCACCACTAATGACTTTATACATCATAAAATCATGACTAATATTTGCACTGTTGGTTTACAATTGCTATTCATTCAAAATAAATTTTTCATAAACCCAGCATCGGTTTTTTGACTAATAAACACCAATTCAAAAGAATCATTTATTTTTATAACTTCACAAATTAAAAAAGTATTAGGAAAATAATTCTATGTAAAATGAACTGTTTCAATAGTTTATTATTATAGAGGAAAACGTTAAGCTAGACATTTTAAACGCCGACCTTATAAAAACTTTAATACAATAACAAACAGGTGGTTATAAAACAACGAGCATTTCATTATTACATTCTCCGACAAAGTTGATTAGTTTAGAAACTACTGAACAGTTTAGTTTCTAGTTTATTTCAGAGAAAATAAACGAAAATTTGATTGTATAAATGTGTTAGAATTTTGACTATCAATGATTGTGCCAATTTTTTTAATCGTTCAATCACTGGTCAGACAAACCGAAGGTGATTTTTTTATTTTTATTGTTTTAGAATAAACTCAAAATAGAATAATTCACTAGCCAGAACTAATATTGATCAAACACTTTTTTAAATACGATTGCATACTTTATTTTTTGTTGGTATTAATTTACATAAATGTAATTTTAAATACTTATGCAAGACATTTTACTTATGCATTAATCGATTAACATTCATTGATAAAGATTAATCGATTAACATTCATTGATAAAGATTAATCGATTAACATTCATTGATAAAGATTAATCGATTAACATTCATTGATAAAGATTAATCGATTAACATTCATTGATAAAGATTAATCGATTAACATTCATTGATAAAGATTAATCGATTAACATTCATTGATAAAGATTAATCGATTAACATTCATTGATAAAGATTAATCGATTAACATTCATTGATAAAGATTAATCGATTAACATTCATTGATAAAGATTAATCGATTAACATTCATTGATAAAGATTAATTGACAGATTCTTCAAAAGTTATATTGAAAATACATTTTTTTTTTCCTTATTTTAAAAGCAAAAACTACTATTATTTTTATGTCATCTTACAACAGAAATCTATATAGTTCTTTTTCAACAAATCTTGTTCTCAAGTCAAGTAGGCACCGGACGTAAAAAAGACGTCTAGAACGTTCTAAAATTCTTTTGAACGTTTAAAGAAATCTTTTTTAGGTCCTGTGACCACTGAAAGTGACCTAAAAATCTTTTTTAATTAATTTTAGTCTACGTAAAGGTTGTTCACCCTCGGTGATAGATAATGGCATCTTGTTAAAAAATCAAATTAATATGCATATACAGAGAGATTCTTTGAAAATAGTATGCATATAGATTGGAAAATAGACTGTAGAACTTTTGAGTACAGTTGGTTGAGAAAGTTTAATGTATTTCTATTGAAGAATGAAGACTCATTCAAATTATTAAGATGAAAAATATCTTTATATAAAGTTGTCTTCTATTTCACAAGCTTTTGTTCATGGAAAAAAATTGCATTTCTAAGTTCATCGTAATTTTGCTATCATCGTTCATTTTGCCAAAAATTCATATCCAAGACGAGTTATCTGCTCATAATGGGTCAAAATTTTAGTTAAAGTTAAAGCAACGGCTTTAAGGCAGCAGTGGTTTCCCGTGGTTGTATTGTAATTAGTTTTACAGCGGAAATCTGAGCTGAGCGTCTGGTGTCTAAAAGCTTATAAAGCATTCATTAGCAGAACTGCAGCTGAAGACTATAAAAAAGTCTTCCATTTTATTTATTTATCACGATAATTAATAAAACTTATACATAAAAACTTTAATATTGATGAAAGGAAGCAACACCAAATTTTACTATACTGACAATCAACATTGCCGCAGCTGAAGTAGCACCTTAGACATATTTTTTTAAAGTCATAATGTCCTAATTTAAACTCCAGACATATTTAAGCCGTTGACGTAAACTTAGCCACGGCATTTCTGCAAGTCAAACCTTTCTTTTATAAGTAAATTAATAATACTCACTGTTTTCTCTATGTTTTTGACACAAGAAAAGCGCTTTTTTTTATCTCCTAGTCAAAGTGCAAAAAGAAAAAATGAAAGTGATATGTAATACATTCATCGTCCCATTGGAGATGACAGTATAGTGTCTTGACAAAGTATATCTTAAATAATAAAATACTTTGTTTGGATAAGATCTAGTGGATACTTTAATGTCGTCAATATATAAAACATATCAACATATTTTTCTTTGGGTGGCCCCCACGAACCACCAAAAAAAAATCTTTAAAACTTTTTACTTTTTGTTATATAAATAAAGCAAGTTAATTGCAACTCTCATCACCTAGTAAATTCATTTTATCAACAAATCACCCAACCAATAAAAAAGATTTTTTTAAATTTTTTTGTAATTATAATCTCATTATGGTATTTAGACAGATGTTGATGTTGGCTAATAAACAGATGTTGGCTAATAAACTGCAAATTTATTTCTTAAAAAAATAGTGAAGCGTTTACCCTATAATATAGATTCTATATAGACACTAAAAAACGCTGTATAATTTGTTCTTCGTAATCAGGCGCTCCTATCATATTGGCGCCCGGGTCATGTATGGCTCTTTTGCCCTTTCCTCTCCGTGGCCATGTATATACATACATACATACATACATACATACATACATACATACATACATACATACATACATACATACATACATACATACATACATACATACATACATACATACATACATACATACATACATACATACATACATACATACATACATACATATATATATATATATATATATATATATATATATATATATATATATATATATATATATATATATATATATATTTATATATATATATATATATATATATATATCTGTTATTTTTATATATTTTATAGGTATTTTGCCTCCATGTGAATTTTTGTTAACAGATCCTAAAGGATCGTTTTCTAGCCCAAATTATCCTGAGAAATATCCTCCACAATTGTCTTGTGTATGGGTAATTTCAGCTCCAGAAAATTATTACATTGAAGTTATCTTTGAAGACTTTGATATCGAACCTTTCGATGATTGCAAAACTGATGTTTTGGAAATAAAAGATGGTGGAAATAAAAATTCTCCATTGATAGGTATTAAAATATATAAAAGTATCAACTAAAACTAATATTTTTTTTAAAGTCAAATGGGAAGCAGAGAGAATAAGTTGGATTCTCATATCTATGATTTATTCTTACTTTTCATTTTCGTTATAAATTTCTCAACAACAACAACAAAAAAGAAAAATACACCGCAAATTTAAATCGAATAAAAGTATTTGCAACGATTTGCTTGTGGACTATTAGAGGCAGCCACTAAAAGTGGCTACCCGGTGACTAGCCACTATATCACATATTTGACAGTTATCGGTTGGCCACTTATAGCAAACGCCACTAATAGCCCATTAAGTAACTGATGAACAAAACGCCAATGAACCGCTTAAAAAGCCTATATAAGTTCACCCAAATCCACTGCAATAATGTTTGCTTATTTATTATGATATAATAGTATGACAAATTTGTTGTTGTCATCTTTTTCAAAAATCAATTATTTTACAACTTTAACGCTCTATCGAAACATGACTTCATTTACATCTCTGGCATTACTGGTTTTACTTTCACCACTTTTTTTTTTGAAACTATAAATTGTAGTTTTATGTCTCTTTATAGTTTGATTTAATTTTTAACTTTTTGAAATTTGTAACAGAATTCATTAAAGGTAAATTTTGAAGTTAAACATAAACATAATGTATTGTTTTATCAACTATTATCACTAATCATTGACATTGATTGATATCATTGGTTGTCGATTAATCAAATATTTTTTTTTTAATATGTGAAGGATTTTCAAAAAAACTTTGAAACATAAATTTAATAAGTAATTGCAGTCCCGTGAATAAAAAATATTTAAGAGGAAAACTGATAAAAGCTTATTTTATTATGAGATCTTTTTAGTGAAGGTTTAAAAGTATGTGTTAGAAAGCAAAAAGAAAACCTTTTACTAAAAATCAATAACATTAACAACTCTAAATATACAAAATCAAAATGAGATTACAAAAAGTGTATATATATATATATATATATATATATATATATATATATATATATATATATATATATATATATATATATATATATATATATATATATATATATATATATATATATGTATATATATAAATATATATATATATATATATATATATATATATATATATATATATATATATATATATATATATATATGTATATATATATACACAAAAATACAAAATCAAAATGAGATATAATCAAAATGAGTTTATTACAATAAGTGTATATATATAAACACACACACACAATGGCGGATTAAGACTTCTTGGGGCCCGGGGCTATTTTTTTGGAGGCCTTTTTATGGGCCAGAGCCTAAAAATGATAGAAAAAAAAAAAAAGTCCCATAAATTTTTGGGGGCGCCTAAATTTGCGGAGCCCGGTGCTGTAACCCTTCCTAGCCCCCCCCTTGATCCGGCACTGCACACACACACACACACACACACACACACACACACACACACACACACACACACACGCACACACACACACATGCTTTTATCAGTGAAACCACTGATAAAAGCATGCAACATTTAAATTTGACTTTAGAACCTCAAAAAAACACGTGTTAAACTCTTTTAAAACTGCCCGTAAAATACACTTGTTTTTGGTTTACGTTGGGATCTTGAAAAACACGTGTCTATAAAGGTTTTAATTCCAAAAAAAAACTAAATGTGCCGGTTGGGTTTGCAATAGATTCATTTAGATTATACTCAATTGACAGTTGGTTCAAAAAAAAATGCTTAGTTCAGTATTTAAAACATTAAAAAAAAATCATTTAAATAAATTTTAAAACATACTATTTATAGTCAAATGTTGTTGTAATCCAATAGTCTATTGCGTTGTTTTATAAGTATAAAACAACGCAACAAAGAAACGATAATGTAAATGTAAAAATGTTAATCGCCGTAAATAGTTGTAGTACCATAACAAAATACTACAAAACTTTGTGATAAAAAAAAGAAAACAAAAAACTTCCTATCATCAGTCGTCATTATCAATATTTTCGCCGTGTGCGTATTTTGAAAGACTTGACCAGTCACACGATTCATGATAAATGCACAAGAGAAGTGCGATTTTTTGAGCGGAATACGGAATACGGAAACCGATTTTAAAATATAATAACCTTCATAAAAATGCTAGACTTAATATTTGATTATATAAACATATTTATACAAAACACAAAAATATATTGTAAAGTATTGTATTATATATTTTGCTATTTAAACTTAATTTTTAATGATATATAATTAATAAATTATAAAATTAATAAGTTATAAAAAGTTATCAATCATGGTAATGGTTAATAAAGAATAATAAGCATTTTAGCTCGACAGAGTTAACCTCATATTATAACCTCAATTATATAATAAATTGTTTAATCTTTATTAAACTTAATAATTCATGACATTTAATTATTTAACAACTCAATCAAATAATTAACTGTCAGAGATGAATAATTAACATAATTAACTTTATTAAACTAAAACTTTACTCAGAGATGAGTAAAGTTTTAGTTTAATAAAGTAAACCACAAAATGCCTTACTTTAAATTTTTATTAGTTAATTAAAACAAATGAGCGTGGTTAGTATTGAGTAGCAACAACTTAAATCAAGTTTTTCGTTCATTTCGGTTTTCGTTCATTTCGGTTTTCGTTCATTTGAAAACTTGGACGAAATGTCACATTTTACTCTTAAAGATAGACCACAAGACACGAGACCCTAAAAAATGATTCATAAGTTTTCCAATAAATAAAAACTGTAAAAAAAATGAGTAATTTAAAACACTAAATTTTTAATGTATTAAATCATTTTGCCTCCTCCCACTGACACCGATATTTTTAAATATACAAATCTGAATGAAATTGTTGTGGTGCTTTCATTTGAGACCCATTAAAATTTAACTAGATACGTTTTTACGTTGATCCTCTTAAGATGTAAAAATATACTTCTTTTTTCAAATTATTTTTGCTTCATTTTAATTACATTTTGTAACCTAACCTAAGAACAAAAATATTTTAAAGCATTCTACCTAAAACTTGAATATTTATAACTTAAAACCTAGTTGTTAAACTCATAAAACTCATCTTTTTAAGTGCTAACTAAGTTTGATAATGGAAGTTCAGCCTCATTGAAATGCTTCGGTACTATGCTTATAAACTTTTGTTTTGTAAAAGAAATCAAGACTGTACTTGAACGTTTAATCTTTATACGTTGACGCGACTAAGTACGTTCATAATAATTTAAAAATGCCGTAATAATTTAAAATATTTTTTGACGATTCGCCAATAATATTCAAGTATAAATATCAAAAATGGCGACAACGAAACGACAATTGATAACTTTTTCTTAAACTTTATATTAAATGAATGGAGTATTACAAACATGAATGCACAGGGTAACGCGGGGCAAAATGAGACAGTTCGCGTTTAACATAATGCTAGCCCTACAAATTATTATTTGCAAGATTTTTAAAAGTGCAGTTGTGTTAAAAAACTATTTTGTGTCATGAAAAATATATTGAGTCACTTTGAAATAAAAAAGTTGAGTAAAAGGGGAATCATTTCATCCCTTGGCTTCGCGAAAATTACGAATTTTTAAGAGTTGTTATTATATTTTTTCCTAGCCTTTTTTGATCACACAAATCACAAATCACACCTTTTTCTTTCATTTCCATTCTTTGGTATTTTATTTCTTCAATAAAATAGTCTGGAAATTAGGCTATTCGATGCCAACATGATGCGGGGCAAAACGAGACATTCTGTTTGTATTTTTTTTTTGCCGATATCTAATATTATGTTTATTTAATTTTTTACATTAAAACAACAACCAAAGCAAATATTAATATTTACATGCTGTAGATTTAAATTTATTATACTGCATTTACTTACTTTTTATTTTGTTAATTGAAATGTTTAGTTGTTATCCAATATAGAATTATGTTTTATATTTTGTTAACTTATATTTAAATATAATAAATATTTAATCAAGTTGAAGCAATCAAGTGGAGTCAATTTCATAATGCACAACCTAGGCTCATTCGGACTGTTGTTCGTTTCAAAATACTAGTCAAGCAATATGTGATTTATGTAACTAGTGACAGTTTGATTATAGCTGTAATATATTATAAAATGTATTACTTGCTAATCCTCTTAAAGATCTGTTTTTTTAAACTTTATTTATTTAAATTACTAAAAAAAAAATCTGTCTCATTTTGCCCCGGTATGCGGGGCAAAATGAGAAAGGATAGGTGCTGTCAATAAATGATCTCTGGTGACCAAACTACTGCAGTTTTGCAACTCATACTTTTTAGGCTTCAAGTAGGATCGTAGAAGAATTGAAAAATATTAATTTATTTTTTCAAAAGTTGTTAGACGGGCCGTATTAGATGTATTAGCTCTTAAGTGTCTCATTTTGCCCCTCGTTACACTACGATATACAACTAATGAGACTTTAGGCTTTAGCAATTTATAAAACTTTTTTTTTTTTTGATTTTTTTTAAATTACGTTAATCAAATTTTTAATCAAATTTCGTGTTGTGATTCAAATTTCATGTTATGATTCAAATTTCGTGTTATGATTCAAATTTCGTGTTATGATACAAAACTTGATGAAAGCCTGGGTTCAAGGTAGCACTTCTGATATTTATTATTCTACTAGCATATCAGGCCACGCATCTCACATCAGCTTTGAGTTTAAAAGGTTCTCTGAATCAAACAACTTCATTTTAATTGCCAAGTCTCAAAAATCATTTTTGCAGCAGTATGGAAGTAAATTGCAGAAGTGTACTTGGTTAGACGTTCTTATTAAAGCTTGAGTAATCAAAAATTTCCTGCCTTGTTAAAAGATTTTATTTACTTTCTAGGTTTCAAAGCGGAAATCGCAGGTTGTGGTTTCAAAAATACTGCTATATTTCTACTCAATCGTACAAATAAAACTGAATTTGGGAAACAGAATTGTTTTTCTGAAAAGTCGGTGTGTCAGAAAAAAAAACTTTTACAGATGCAGTAATTTTCATAGAACAGCCTCAAAAAAAAAGAAGAAAAAAGCGTTTTTGTTGGTAATTATGATGCTCCCAGAAGTCCTTACGGTCTTATCACAAAGCTCCGCGGAAAAGCATTTAAATATGAATTTCACCCTTCCTTCCTTACCAATTTTGCTTATTAGACTAGAGCCGACGTCAAACCATGGACTTTTTGACTCAGAACTCTAACCACTGCGCTACGGTTGCGCAAATTTTTGAACGCACAGATTTTTAAATTTAGCTAGCCTAAGAAATACAATGAAAAAACAAGTATGTCTACTAGCCAAAATGTTCAAATTGTTGTTGCTACGAGCAGTAATTCCTATCATATTGATCGTCTAATTATAAATCTATTATAAATATACATAAAGCACATTACGATGAGCTTTATGTCCTGAAATAAAAAGAATTAAGAATACAAATTAAAAAAAAAAAAAATTTTGGCCCATAATATCAGAAATTTGATTTTTAATTAAGCGCATTTAAAAATCTAACAATGCTTTAAAGAAATTTTCAACTAAATTTTTTATCGCAGGACATTTATCTATATAAAAGGAATAAAACTGAAAAAAGAACTTAATACATTATACTTTTTGAAATATCTTTATCAAGATTTTTGCATGTTTTTGGTAAAAACCATTTTTTTTTCTCAAAATTTATGGGGAAAAGAAAAAAAAATTAAAAATAATATTTTTTTCAAATGTGTTTATTATGTTTAAAGTAAAAAAATCAATTGAAATATTGTCAAGTACAAAAATCATTTTTTTACCAGTCTACCATCATTACCTCCACCATTACCACCATACCACCACACCACCAATACCACCATACCACCACATCACCATACCACCACACCACCATTACCACCATACCACCACACCACCATTACTACCATACTACCACACCACCATTACCACCATACCACCACACCACCATTACCACCATACCACCACACTGCCATTACCACCATATATTTAAAAATTAAATCTAAAAAATCTTAGTTAAATTTTCATTAAATTGAAAGATTTTTTCCTTTTTTTCATTAAACGAACAAATAGACCATAGTTTATTCGCACCTTTTTTAACGTGCCCTTCGATAAAATAATTTTTAAGACGTCAAAATATAAATAGATGTTAAAATAATATAACTATTTTTACAAACTATAAGTAACAGGCTTTAATATAATTTAACTAAAAATTTAAGATGAAAAGTTTTTGGTATGATAACCTATGTTCAAAATTAAGTACAAATATTCTTTACTTTAAACCTAAACTTCACTTTTTAAATTTGAAATTTGATACCATTTTCATTATTTTTAAATTTGTTGTTTGATGTCGTTCAGTTTAAGATCCAGTTACTTTGTTTTAAAAATTATTTTGAAATTTAAAAATATAGCGAGACTTTCTAAGTTTAACTTTTGTTTGGAATAAAGAAAAAGGTAAATTCTATGAGCAGCCGTGGCGCTTAATATACCATTACTAAAACTTGCTTCAAAACCATAAGATCCAAAGCTTGATACCTGCTCTGGCCATATAAGCGTCATCAGTAAGGTGCTTTACCGCACTGCGATAAAGTATTTAATATTTTCAATAACTAACTTTTGACGACTCATCTTCTATACCATATCCTAAATTAAATTCATCTTTAATAAATATTCTGAATTAAACTAAAAAAAAAAAAAAATTTATACCATATCCTAAATTAAACCCATTCGGGCATCGAAGTCCATGCGACGTCTGTACGACATCTTATGGACGTCACAAGGCTGAAGGATGTACTTAAGACATCCAGTGGAGGTATTGTGCCCGGTGGGTCATTTTCAATAACAATAAAAAAATATATGTATGGAATTTTTTCTTATTTCTTTTAAACAAGTTTCTGCAAGAGTTTTGTATAATAGATTTTCTTTTTTCTTTAGGGATTCTTTCAAAAAGTATTCGAAATAATGGTAAATAACGTAAATAGTTTTTAATAATAATAAAAATAAAATGAATTAATAAAATAATATATAAAATAATAAACATAATAAAAATAACGAAAATAAATTCTTTAAAATACTTAACTTTTATTTAAATTAATATACATATTTACATACATGCATACATACATACATACATACATACATACATACATACATACATACATACATACATACATACATACATACATACATACATACATACATACATACATACATACATACATACATACATACATACATACATACATACATACATACATACATACATACATACATACAACTATAAATGCACGCAGCATGTTTAGATAAGTTGTGTGACGTCATACTGAAATGTACTGATGATATGAAAATACACTATCTTATAGCCTGCTGCCGTAAAGGAGTGCCGCCATATCTACTTAGGTTTTGAGATGAGGCAGCAATCTTTTCTTTCATTATCTTTGTTTAATATATACATACGTTATAAATAGTTTTTAGTAATAATAAAAACAAAATAAATTTATAAATTATTATAAAATAATAAAGATAATAAAAATAATAACAATAAAAGTTTTAAATATTTAACTTTCATTTAAAACAATTTATATATATATATATATATATATATATATATAAATTATGCGTTTTTTAATTCATTAGCTAATGAATTAAAAAATACATGTCGAGAATTTATTGTTACTTGTTTGTTTTTACGTTATTTGCTGATTGACTATACTCAAAAATACGCTATCCTCTGGCATCTGATTACTTCGTTTATTTAACACCTGATAAAATAAAGGTGATCCAACAAAAAAAAAATTTCTAAAAGGAATTATATTTTTTCAACCTAAGTGTAATCTAGATAAAAAAATTTCACTGAGCTTCCACTAAAGGACTTCTTTTCTTTCTCTCTCATAAAATACGAATGCGGTTTAACTGACCACAGTTGCTTACAAACGCTTTTTGTGTGGAAAAAGAAGATATCTAAGCAATGCAGGATTTTTAGTTTAAACATTTTTTGACTTATGCAATAACATTCATTAAATTCAATAGTCTCGTTCTAGTTTATGGTGCGAGTTGCTAAAAAAACACAAAGGTATTGTATAAAGTTATTTACTTTTCTATTAAAAAAAATACTTTTCGAACGAATTTTCTTAAAAATGTTTATCATTATCTTTAGTTAGTTACTACGCTTATTATTTTTCTATAAATGTTTAATTAATAAAGTAATAGTTAGGATTATTATATATAAATTGCAGGTGGTCAATATTGCAATACGTTTAAACCACCTCGTGTAGTGACGTCAACAAGCAATCAGCTGAGACTCTGGTTTTCAACCGATAGTACGATTCATCATCGTGGATTTACGCTTAAATACATATTTCTACCAGAACAAGGTTATATTGAAATTATTTTATACATAAAAATTTTTTATTATTAAAATAAACAAATTCTATGTAAATAATAACAAATAAAAAATAACTAAATAAATTAATATAACTTATAAGACTTAAATTGATTTAAAAAAAAATTAGATTAGAGTCTGGAACAAAAACCAGCCTGAAATTAATCACCTCAAATGCAGCGTTTTTGAGATTAATTAAATTTATATATTAAATTTTTTTGGCACTGTTAGACATTTTGCAGGTATGGTCTTGATATTTACAATGTTTTAATATGAGGTGGTATATATGGTTCTATATAAAGTACATCTTAAATATTCTTAAAATTCTTTCCAAAGAATTTACCGGGATGCATTTTATAGTGAACAGATTCTTTATAAATGAATTGACTTCAGAACTTCCATTATAAAAATTGCAAACTTTATAAATAGATACTCAGACTATAATCAATACAAACTCACCAGCATGCCGATCCTTTGATTGATTACACAAAGAGCATTTTATCAACCTATATTATTATACATTGATTTTAGTTTATTAGTTTAGTTTATTAGTTTATTTCGCCGTTAAAAATATTTACAAAGTACAACAATATAAAAAGTACAATTGGCTGGAGCAAGAAAAAGGCATAAAATAGCCTTATCACCGAACCCCAATAGTAACGCAAATAAATATCCGTAATATACAATAATCCGTAATATATAAGCAAAAGTATTTAAAAAAAGACAATTTAAAATGTTAAGAAACAAAGTTAAAAAGAAAAAAAAAAAAAGTATTAAAATAATTGAAGAAAAATAAAAAAAATAAAAAGAAATGATTAAAATATAGTAATAAAAATGACAAAAATTTTCTGTTTTTGGTTATAAATTGGATGTGATTCGACATATATATTTGTATATATTATTTGCATTCAAAATAATTAAAAATTCAAATAAAAATTATGTTCCAATATTATAAAATATATCAAGAAAATTGTAGGTAACTTTAAGAGAATATATATATTCAATGAAAGTATGATAAAGACATTGAAATTCTTAGTATTGTTAAATGGTCTAGATTTTTAAATTTATGGTGCTAATTTAGTTTATTAAATTTTAAAGCTTTAAAAGTGACATTGAAGATCTGCTATATTAAAATTCGTAAGTACTAAATAACGTCTTAATTTAGATTTGAATTGCGGAAGTGTTTTTTCTTTAATATTAACAATATGCTGAAAGTTTTTCCACAAAATTGGACCCCTGTACTGAATAGAATAAGAACATAACTTTAGATTATACTTTTGAGTTACAAAGTTATTTTCTGAGAACTTGGTGGGGTATTTATGGCTTACTTCTCTAAAATAAGGATAGAATATCGCTGGAGACAGTCCATGTTTTATTTGATACATGAACTGTATGACGAGGAATATGTTAATTTTAAACACATTTAATGCATTGAGTTTACGTAAAAGTGGCTCACAAGGCACAGTTCTTTTTACTCCAAATACAATTCTACATGCATGTTTTTGTTTAGTATAAAATTTTCTTCTTCAAACAAAATAAAGTTTAGTATGTTCGAGGTAAGAGATAGATCATTTATATAAAGAGAAAACAGTAACGGTCCTAAGATTGAGCCTTGAGGAACTCCACATTTTATTATACTTTTTGTCGTTTTAACATTTTCATATTGAATGTATTGCTGCCTGTTTGATAAGTAATCTTTAAACCATAGTAAATTATTGTTTTTTATTCCATAATGTTCAAGTTTTTTTAAAAGAATGACATGGTTGACTGTGTCAAAGGCTTTAGACAGATCAATAAATACTCCTAATGTAAAACGGTCATCATTAAAGGCATTGGTTACATGAGTTACTAACTCGGTCAAAGCGTGATCAGTTGAATGATTTTTTTTAAAACCAAATTGCTTGTTGTACAACATGTTATTTACTGTTAAGTAGCTGTTTAGCCTATTATACATTATACGCTCGAGTAACTTAGAAAAGCATGGTAAAACTGATATTGGTCTATAATTTGAAGAATCTGTGTCATTGCCAGACTTAAAAATAGGCAAGACCCGTGCAACTTTTAATTTTTCTGGAACTGTTCCAGATTGAAAAGAAAGATTAAAAATGTGATATAAAGGAGTTTCTATAATATGAAAAACTGATTTAACAACATTTATGCTAATACTATCAAAACCTACACTTGTGTTGTTTTTAAGATTATCTAGAGCATATCGTAACTCATTAATATCTAGTTTAGATTCGTCCATGACCTTATCATATATTTTTAAATAAGAATCAAACGATGATGAACTTGAAGGAATTTTTTCAGCTAAGTTTGGACCAATATTAAGAAAGAAGCTGTTTAGATTTTCAGCTACTATTGACTTGTCATATATACTTTTACCATCTACTAAGAGTTTCTTCGGTTGAATACTTATTCCATTATTTTTTCTGCCAATAATTTCTTTAATTACGCTCCTCGTACTTTTGGCATGTCCGTTAGTTTTTTTTAACAACTTTGAATAGTAAATTTTTTTGATTTTTGTTTAGTTTTTTCAAATATATTTTTATAAAGTTTGTAGTTTAAGTTATTATAAATTTGAATAAAACATAAAAGTTAGAGAATAGTAAGAAAAACTAGACACAGTTGTTACAAAACAACTTACCAACTGATAAAAAATTTCTTATGCGTGAAAGAGCAAAAAATTTACAATTAGCTTTTTTGAAAAAATATTTGTTTTCTTTGCTTTAGAGTGGCTGATTCATCAACAGCTGTAAAACATCATAGTATTAACAGTGTGATGTTGTATGCAGAATATATCTGCGTTAATGCATTTGGTGTGCATTGTCATTGACTACATAAAGAGCTCATTGCTAAAACTTTTGTTTATTTAGTAGTAATGAGGCAATTACATAGTTTAATGCTTTTTAAGAGTTTCGCTTTCACTTTAAGGCTTTCACTTTCACTTTTTATGATTAAACAAAGTTCTACAATAATTTAAAATATGAGCAAAGTGCGTATAATATAAAACAAAACAAAACAAAAAACCATCATCTCTACTAAATTGTTTTAATTTATCTTTTGCGGACTTTGAAGTAACTTTTTATCCATTGAATCTGACCTGATACAAATTTGACCTAGAACTACTTGTTTTTAGTAAAAATAAATTGAGCTATTACATTTTTGGATTTTAAAGTTAATAGTCATAATCCTGTGATTTGCAAAGGCTTCAATAGGCGCGTGCTCGGGAATATAGGTACGTATACTTACGTATCAATTCACTATTTTTTGATCAAGTTTTTATTTCCATTTACTAATTGTACATGACTATTTGACCAAGTTATTTCATTGGTTAACTTAGTTACAAGTTATATTTGGAAAATCAATGCTGCCAATCACTAGAATATCTTTGAAACTCATCAATAAAAGATTTCGATATGCTGAAAATTTTCATAAGCGCATCAATACATAAGTTTTCACTAAGCCTATATGCAAATCCAACAGAGTATTTATCTTCGTTACATCCACGTCTGTTCAACTTTGCTGGAATTCAAAATTTTTTACTTCATACAAAATAATTATAGCTATACTTAAGTTCACATTAAAAACAATTTTCAGAAGTTTCTTTCTCCCACTTTTATCTTTCCTATATATATTTTTATTACGATACGTTTGTTGGACGTCTTTTGACGTCTTTAAAACGTTGTATAGATGTCTCACTGAAGGCTGTGTCCGCTGGGAACAAAGATATTTAGAAGCTATTCTCTTTTTACAAGAACATTTTTCAAACAAATTCAAAAAACTGCATTGCAAAAATACGATCACTTGTGGAAATAAAGTGAAAGTCATTGGGATTAAAATTCAACTGGACCTTTGAGAATTTTAAAACCCAACACATTTCTTTTTTGCCCAGAAGAGCCCCAGCCGGCATTTGGTCCTAAAAAGACGTCTTTTGAACGTTCATAAGACAACTTTTTAGGGCCAAATCCCGGCTGGGGTTTTATGTTATTTCTTTTGTTTAAATCCATTCTTTTATTCATTGAATCCATTATACAGGTACACAGAAAAAGGCATTTTTTCAAAAGAAATATGTTAGTTAATTATCCACTTTTTTGCTGTTTGTGATTGTACAATTTGCATACACTGTCTAATAATATTTCTATAATTTCGACATAAGACTAAAGTTTGTATAAATATTGTGATTGAAACTATTTTTAGCTATTTTTTATAAAATTTGTTGGTTGCTGACCAGCAGGTTCATTACATTACAATTAACTCTGAATGAAATAACACTATTACCGCAGTCAATACTTATAAGTTTGTTTTTAAAACAACCTTTAATTAAATTTACTTTTTTTCAATAAAATATTACTGTTAGTAATAATTTGTTAGTAATACTAAGTTAGTAATATGGAAGCAGTTTTTCAATAACACACTGTTTGATGAAGCAAAACGACTGAGTTAATTTTTTGAAAGCATTAAGTTTTTGAAATAAAGTTTGTCCAAAATGAAATAAGTATTCTGTAACAATTACTAATTGACCAATTAAATATGTCGATACTTTTAATAGTTAATTGTAATCTGAACATTCATCATCACTTAAGTGATGATGAATGAAGCTTTATACATTTTGACAGAGATATTGATGTTTTAAAAAATTCTACTTAAAATTAAAAAAGTAAAATTTTTTTAAAAACTTAAAGGTTATATCTTAAATTAACTACACTTAAAGTTTACTTGTTTTTTGAAAGTATATTTTTATCAATTTAACATCACTCAAATGTATCTTCTTATCATTTTGATATCACCCAAAAGTATTTACACTATTTTTATCATTAAAAAGTATCCTAATTATTGCTTAAATATATATGATTACTAGCATTTAAAAGGCGTTAATGAGTATTTTTTTAAATATGACATTCTATGACTATATACATATACATCCATAGGTTATTGTGGTTTTTTCTAATTCGGCTAATTGCCATATAGAAACCACGTACCCGGGCCCGCGAAGACAAGCTCAGCTCACTAAAGAGCATCACCCGCTTCGCTGACGAAGAGTAAGTAAGTTTAAAAAGAACGAAGTAAGTTAGAGCGAAAGTCGGAGGAAGTTGAGTTTGAAAGATAGCAAAGAGAAAGCGGACAGATTGCACTGGATGTTAGAATGTGCAACTTATGCTATTAATTAGATTATTTTTATAAAAGTAATCATCGTTGCTGTTGACGTTTGTTTATACTATATTATAACCTATATTATTTTAAGTATTGTATACATATACTTGCATAATTATAAGAAATTAGCGACAGACTTCTGGGAGCACCTTAATAAATGGTGAAAAAAAAAAACGTGTCGGTAAAATTATTTGTTGTTGATATCATTGCTAAACAGATAACGTTGGTACAACGTTAGTCTTGCGTCAGAAAAAACAGCCGACGTTCGCAATGGTTTTACATACGTTGGCCTAACGTATCAGTGCTAGCTAGGACACAACTAAACTTTTTCTTAGTTTTTATTTATCTATGAGATATTTAATTAATTTATTTTTAAATAAAGATTAAAAATTGAATAATAGAAACGAACATTTCAAACACGGAAATTTGAAAAGTTAATGAAAGTTTGTTAAAAGGAGTTTAGTGAAATAAACAGATGCAGACCAGAATTTTTGCTGTTTGTAATAATTGAGTTTAAACAAGACAAAAAAAAAAATTAATTCATAATATAGCACCTGAATAACTACCTAAAAAAAATTTAGTAATCAAACTTTTTTTTACAGATTGCGGGGGTGTAATTGAATCTACGCATGGAGAAATTACAAGTCCTCGGTTTCCGTTACACTATCCGAATAAAAAGTCATGTGAATGGAAAATACGTGTTCCCGAAGGAAAATATTTATATTTGAAATTTATCAGTTTTGAAATTGAAACAACATGCCCAATAGGTTTACCATGTAAATGTTTGGATTCAGTTTACATAAAAGATGAAAAAAACAAAAATACGGAAGTGTAAGTATGATATTTATAAATTGTGTTTTTTTGTGCACACAAATTAAGAAGTAACATAAATTGTACAGAAGTGTAAAATATATGTGCATAATTTGTTATTAATAATTAATATAGTATTATTAGTATTACACTATTAATTAATTTTTACTGATGTTATTATTATAACAACTATTTTTTTCAAATTCATAACCAGATACTGTTTCAGTCATCCAATGCCTTTAGTTGCCTCCAGTAACGAAATATCTGTTGGTTTTAATTCTGATTTGTATGGACGTCTTCAAGGTTTTAAAGCTATTTTTACACAATCATCGACTCCAAGTAAGTAAAACTATTTTTATTAATGAAGCATTTTAAAAAAATACCTCACTATTATAGTTTTTTAAAAATATACCTCACTATTATTATTTTTTTTAAATATAGCTCGTTATTATTATTTTTTAAAAATATACCTCATTATTATTAACCTTTTAAAGTTTGTTGAAAGCATTCTTTCAATTTCACTCAATTCAAAATTATCGTTGAGTTTTTTTTCAACTGCTTTTCAGTTTAAATATGTTTAACTTGTAGAGTGTGGCGGAGACTTATTTAATAACAACGGAACAATCGAATCTCCATTATATAATCCCGAAGCTCAAACGACGTATCCTTCAAAACTTAGTTGCATATGGACAATAAAAGCTTCACCACAAGAATACGTTGTACTGCATTTTTTGTATTTTGATGTGGCCGAATCATTTTGGTGTTTAAAAGATAATGTGGAAATCAGGGAGGGTGAAAACGAAAATGCACCATTAGTAGGTATGCTTCCTATTTTTAGTAATTTTATTTCAACTAACAATTTATGTTTTTCTTAAGTAGTGGATGTGCATTTATGAAGTTTATTATATAGCTACTTTTTTTTTTTTAATACTTTTTTTTTTACGACTTTTTTTTTTTTTTAATACTTTTAACTTTATTTAATTAAAGTATTTAACTGTTTTATTAAATCTAGATGTAACCAAGTTAGTTACCTAGCATGTTACCTAGTTACCTAGCACATGACCTCGTTATTTATAAAGATTTTAACTATTAGGTTATTACTGCAACTCAAATAAACCAAATAAAGTAATTTCATCGAATAATGGATCAACCTTTATACGTTTTAAAAGCGATAAAAACGATAATGTTCTTTATAAAGGCTTTCAAATCCATTATCAAGTTGTTAAACAAGGTAAATTTATATATGTATATATATATATATATATATATATATATATATATATATATATATATATATATATATATATATATATATACACATATATATATATACATATATATATATACATATATATATATATATATATATATATATATATATATATATATATATATATATATATATATATATATATATATATATATATATATATATATATATATATATATATAAATTTTTGTTTTCAACTTTTTTTTATTTTAACTGATTAAAGATGAGATTAAATCGATCTTTAATGAACAGGTTGCGGCAATCCGTTACTTAAAGACGAGAAGACATCAAACACAGTTACTGCTTCCTCTTTATTTAAAATAGCACACGAACCACATTTTTTGGAAGCAAAATACGCTATAGTTGGAAAACCATATGCTTGGTGCACTAAAGTAAGATTTCATAAGAACATATATCTTGTTGAGCTATGTATCAAGTGAACGCATGCGTGTTTGTTTTACTCTGTATACTTTTTGAAAAATCGATTTTTTTTCAATGAATTATTTTTTTTTCTTCGTAGGAAATCTTTAGCAAAGACAATGAAGAATACATTCAGATAGATTTTAAAGAACTCACAGAAATTAACAAAATTATAACCGAGGTAAAATAATTTTTATTATAAACCCTGCTCAATTATAAAGCACTGCAGTGTGGCAAGAATAAGCCTCTTATGTGTAACGTTTAGGGGTTTAATGTGGCAAGGCTATCATCGCCACATTAAATCAATATTTCCCATATTGAAATATGGGACAGGGCCAACAACACGGGTATCGAAGTGGGGAGGCACAATCGTTAATTCTTAAAAATAGTCGTCTATATCTAGAATTTTCTTTATATATATGTATATATATATATATATATATATATATATATATATATATATATATATATATATATATATATATATATATATATATATATAAGGTCCTTTAGAAAAAGTGGGGGGGGGAGCACGTGCTTCCTGCCAATCCCTCCCCCCCCCTTCCTCCAGTGTCGTTGGCCCTGTGGGAAATAATATAAACATTCTTAAATATAAAATCAAAAACGTTGCAAACAAATGCAACGTTTTTGGTTTTATATTTCTTTATAACTCTTTATAACTCTTTAGGCATTAAACTATGGAGTCAAAGATCCAGATTTTTCATTTTTTTAAATTAGATTTTTATTGTAAATTACGACGTTGTAACTTAATTGAAAAAAATTAAAATAAATTTACCTTTATATTTGTTTTTAAATGTTAATTTTCATAGGGTTACACAATGGTCGGTAATTATTATTTTGTAACGAAATATAAAATGGCATATTCTATGGAAAGAAATAATTTTGTGCACTATGTTATTAATGAAGATGAAAATCCGGGAAGTTCATTTACGGTAAATAATAATTATTTAAGTTATTTATAAATTTTGTGTAGATTAATTTATAAATTAATCTACACACAAAATTGTGTGTAATTAAATATTTGTTTATTTTGCTTTTTTTTAAAGATTTTTCTAAAAAATTTAAATTTTTTTTTTTTTTTTTTGTCAAACAGAAAAAATATTTGTTAAAAAAACTTATATTAAGAAGTAAAACTTAGTAGCTATTAAGAGTTGACTATTCCGGTATCAAAGGTAAAAGCATTTTAAATTGATACTATCTACAAGTACTATTGAACGTTTATACAAGCCTTTCATTAAACGCGTACACCCTATTTTCTTAGCTGTTAAACTCTGGTTAGATTCTCTTGGTAGAAAGTTATAAATCTAAATAAGTTTACAACAGCAAATTTACAAACCTACTTCAAAAAGCAAAAGGACGAACGGTCGTGATTAACCTAATTAAACGCTTTAAGATTTTATTTTAGGTTAAAAAACGTTTACAAATTGGGCCGTGTTTAAATTAAATGCTATATATATCCAGAATCAAATTGCTAAATTAATGACAAACAAAAGTTTTTTGCTTTATTCAGTTAGCTCATAAATCTAATATATAGCTTTTTAGAAATAAGTTAAACCAAAATTGAAAAACAAAATGACTCAAAAATAATTATACTGTCTAAATATTTAAAATTGTTAACATCGCCGCTTCAGTGAAATCATCTTAATGTATAAAAAGTATGGATTTGAACTAACTTTTTACCACCAACATTTAATTTTTAATTATACTTAAAAATATTTTAAATTATATTTAAATATACACTATTGTATTATTTTTCAATAGGTTTTTGAAGGCAACAAATATTTTAATGTCTCAAAGGAAAATACGTTGTCACCATCTATTGTTTTAAAGAGCCTCAGAATTATTCCTACAGAATACGTATCTGGTCGGCGTTTGCATATTTGCATGAAAGTACAAGTTTATGGTTGCGATGCAATTCATCTAGGTTAGATTTTGACTTCTATCTGAACAATGTTAATTGTAACATGTAAATGAAATTTGATCACATGATCAACCTCTGTGTGTTGCTTTAAAGCTGTTTGATAATTTTTTATTTTATATATATATATATATATATATATATATATATATATATATATATATATATATATATATATATATATATATATATATATATATATATATATATATATATATATATATATATATATATATAGGGCCGGTGCGAGTGGAGAAGAGGGGATGCCACGACATTTTTTGCGAATTGGAAAAAAAAAAAGATCCTCGTTTATAAAATTTGACGGCTGCCTTATTGACATTTGCCGACTGGCTGTCTAAATTTACCGACTAACTTGTCTAAAGGGGCTACATTTGCCGACTGACTTGTCAAAAAGGGTCAAATTTGCTTACTGAATGAACGAAAAAATCATTGATCAAAATCACACACACCCCTCCCCATCGCGCCGGCGTTTTATATATATATATATATATATATATATATATATATATATATATATATATATATATATATATATATATATATATATATATATATATATATATATATATATATATATAAACTAGTTGAACTTTGTTTTAAATTGATTTAAACATTCTGATCTCGATGAATCAAACTATTTTAAATTAATTTAAGCATTCTAATCTTGATGAATCAAACTATTTTAAATTTATTTAAACATTCTAATCTCTATGAATCAAACTATTTTAAACAAGTGAATTGAGCAAGTATATTTTTATATAGATACTTTTTAATTGTAGAAGACGTGCTGATGAAAAACGATGGTCGTGTTAAATTTAATACGTCTGCATTAAAGCGAACAACATGGCTCATTGCACCGCCTGTTGAAAGCTTAAATTCAGTTTATTTATTTGAAGCTTTATTAAATGCAGAGTGTAAATCGACTAACTTTTTTATTTCTACAAAAAGCGAAAACTCTAAACTGGCTTATTGTGACAAAAAAAAAATTGAATATCTTTTACCTGGAATAAGACAACTTTGGGTTACGTTAGACGTTAAAGTAAAACCTGACAGTCTACAATCCATATCATTCTCATATCAAATTGAAAAATTAGGTGAGAGTTTAATATTTAAAGGTAACGCGCAACTTCTTTTTGAAATATTTAATTTTACTATATATATATATATATATATATATATATATATATATATATATATATATATATATATATATATATATATATATATATGTATATATATATTTATATATATATATATATATATATATATAATATATATATATATATATATATATACATATATATACATATATGTTTATATGTTTAAAACATATAAAATTAAAATCTTAAGGATCCGGTGGTATAATTGCATCTTCTCATGGTATAATCAACGGCAATCATCAAATTTTAAATAATTTTAATGCAACATCAATATGGCTGTTTAAGTTTGAAGAAGGAAAAAGAATTGTGCTTGATTTTTCCAATATAAGACTACCCCAAGATGGTACTAAAATTGTTATGAAAGGGGGTCTGAAAGGTTAAAAATTATTTTTTTAATTTTAAAATATAAATTTGATAAAACGTATAAAATATTTTATTTTTTTATGCAGCAAGTTCACATGTATTCCGTGAAATATTTGGATCCGAAAATCGTATTGCTTTTGTATATACTAGTCATTTAATGAGAATGGAATATCATTTGGGAAGAACAAATGGAACTTCGACACAACATTTAGGAGGGACATTAACCGAAGGATTCACATTGAAATATACTATAACAAATGACAAATCAGCAAAGCTATAAATATAAAGATTTTTAGACTCCTGTTGCTCATTTCTTTACAGTGGATGCATATTCTCGATGCAAATTCATTCTTTCAAACTATTGCAATAAAGAAAAAAGACGACGGAACAAAAGATTAAACATTTCAAAACAATCAGAACATATAAATAATCTTTTTATATTTCCAAAAAATGAAAAATTACATCTCTTGAGGAGGATTAACATCGAGTAGCCGAAAACTATGTTCCATTATCTAAAGAAAATAAAAACAATAAAATACATTTTTAAAAAAGAATGTTTTAAATTAAATTTAATTATCATCACTAATGAGTAATTCCTCATCAAATCCGTCAAGTTCCGATTCAAATCCATTAAATATTTTGTTTAGTCCATTAGTAATTCCACATCAATTCCATCAAATTCCCCTTCAAATTTCACATCAACTCCATCAAATTTGATTACTATCACTACTGCGTAGCTCAACATTAAACTCATCAATTTCAGATTCACTAATTTTACGTCAATTTCTCTTACGTCAAACATATCAATTTCAGATCCACTAATTTTACGTCAATTTCTCTTACGTTAAATCTAACGATTTTAGATACACTAATTTTACGTCAATTTCTGTGTATTTTATAACTTCAATTTTTATAAATAATAAATAAACATAAATGGTTTTTTAAGGATTTAAAAAATTATCAACACTAAACTTTTATAATTTTTAGTTATGTAATGACTCAAAAATCGTGACCATGTGACCAGTGGGAAAAACACTGGTCACATGGTCACGATATAATATATATAAAAATATAATATAATTAAGAGTAAAAAAAAAACAACTAAAAAAAAAAAAAAATTCAGAATAAGAAGAAAAAAAAACTAACTAACACCAGCCCAGAGAAGGATTCAGCAATTTTTTGGCGTTTGAGGAATCTAACTTGGAAGTTAGCTACCTCAAGTAGAATAACCAATTGTAAACCTCTTTTAAATATAAGTAACTAATTGTAAACCTCTTTTAAATACAAGTAACCAATTGTAAAATCTCCCTAAAGTAAAAGTAACCAATAGTAAACACCTTTTAAATAAAAATAACCAATAATAAACCTCTTTCAGCGCCACTGATAAATACAATCTTGCTGATATTAACCCAAATAAATGATCTCGAGATTCCTGCACATAAGGAAAAAATAATAACAAATAATAAAAATTTCATACCCTTTTTCCTCAAAACAAATTAAATTAAACTTACACAATTTTGCTTAAAAAAACTAGGTTTATATTTATTCAAAACTTTTTTTTTTTTTAAACATCTTTTTTTTTTTAAACAAAAATATTTGGTTCAACAAAAATTTGTTGAACCAATTTTTTTTTTCAGATTTTTCAGATGAAATTTTTTTAGAATTTTAGACGATGCAAAATTATTAAATCATGTTATTGTAGTCGTTTTTGATTATCAATGCTTAACCTCATTTCCAGTAAATCTAGTACCACAAAGTTTCAACACTGATCAAAATAAATTGACATAGATCAACTGTGATAAATTATAGATAAAACTTTTAAACACAATTTTGTTCAAGTTTTTCTCTCTTAACTCTTTCTTAACAGCTTTATCTAAATTGTGATCCAGCATTCATCATCCTAAGCAGGAAACAATGCAAACCTGTGTTACATTGTTACCTGCTTAGGAAGATGAATGCTGGATCTTCTCGATTCTATTCAAAGGATTTTGCTTGTGCCTTTATGATAGTGGTTACACAACTCTTCCAGGTATTTCCTAATGAGGGTACAGCTCTATAACTCACTTTAATGGTTCAAAGGCCAGCTGGTAGCGTAATTTCCCTAACTCTGAGGTAGCTCTCAAAAAAGCTGACTCCTTCAACAGCTGTTAAATATCGCAGTATTAATGTTGCACATTGATGATGTCACAGTTATTGCTTTTGGTGCGCATTGTCAAGGCAACAAGAAGCCCTTTATTAATTAACAAGAGGCAACTACATACCTCATACTTAGGTTGCCATGGTGCCATGCTCTATTTTTAATAAAGCTAAGTTCTCTAATAACATAAAAAATGATTTAAGTACCTACAAATATTAAACATAAAAAACCACTCCACTAACTAATTGTTTCATTCTAGAATTTACAAATATTCATGGTTTTCGAAGTAACTTTCCGTCAATTGAATCTTATCTCTTGCAAAATCTACCAGTCTTCCTCTTTGTGAGACTAATTCAAATTTGACAGTTTCATCTAAGTGTTGATGACTTGTATTCTACAATTCATAAAAACTCCAATAGCTGAAGTTATTTCTTTCTTAAGCTCATTTACTGCTTGTGGTACAGCATTTCTGTCTTACAAAAGTGTTTTCTAGAATTATTTTCATACTCCTTAATAAGTGCTGAACGTAATTTTGTTTTCCTGCTCGCTGGAAAATAGCATCTGTGGTTCCAGTTTTTAAATTTCCTCTTGAATCTAACAACTTACTCTCTGATGATCAATACAGATTTTGATCTTTGCCTTCTACAGTTGACTTGTAAACTGTCAAAACAGAAAAGTTCAATTGTCGTGGCATGGTAAGGGGTATTGCTTTTGACATATCAAAAGTTTTTGATAATGTCTGACATACTGGTCACCTGCATATGGTATATTATCTGACAAACTGGTCAACTTCATATGGTATAATATCTGACATACTGGTCACCTCCATATGGTATTATATCTGACATACTGGACAACTTCATATGGTATAATATCTGACATACTGGTCACCTCCATATGGTATAATATCTGACATACTGGTCAACTTCATATGGTATAATATCTGACATACTAGTCACCTCCATATGGTATAATACCTGACATACTGGTCACCTCCATATGGTATAATATCTGACATACTGGTCAACTTCATATGGTATAATATCTGACATACTGGTCAACTTCATATGGTATAATATCTGACATATTGGTCACCTCCATATGGTATAATATCTGACATACTTCAAATATTTTTTTTTTTTTAATTATTTTCGCTTCCAACAAGGCTGCAAGCAACCACTAATTAGTGTTGGAAGTTACTGGAAGAGAAAAGATGAAGATTGTAGAGTAAGATAACAATTGACAGACGACTTAAAAGATTGCAAATTATATGAATCAGGAAAGCAAGATGAAGGAAGCGAATTCCAAAGAACTGATGTTCGAAGAAAAAAACTAGACGAATAAGAGTTTTTAAAGCACTTAGGAACAGTAACAGAAAAAGGATGAGACTTAATTGAATGATGAGTAACACGAGAATAAATTTTAGTAGATGGCACAAGAGACGCTAGCTCTTTCGAGCAGTGCCCATTATAGTATTTGTAGAAAAGAGAAAGAGAAGCAACATTACGACGATGTGACAGAGGTTAAAGTTTGGCTGCAAGAGTAGGTCCGACTATGTTTACAATGTGTTTTTGCACCTTGTCTAAAAGAGAAAGGGCATCATTAGAAGATCCAACCCCAGATATGGCAACAGTATTCCATACAAGGCCAGATTTGAGATTTATAGAGATAGAGAATAGAATCCAGAGTAAGAAAGTGACGAGCTCGATAAAGAGAAGCAACTTTAGCAGATGCTAATTTTGCAAAGGATTTGATATAAGGTTTCGAAGAAAGATCAGAAGTAAGAGTTAATCCTAGAACATGAAGGGTAGGAGACTCATCGAGTACATTACTGTTCATAAATATAGGAAGGTCTAAACTATTGCGATAATGATTGGCTGAAAAAAATTGAGTTTTATCTGAATTAAAGTTCACCAGCCACTGTGAGCCCCATGCTGTAGCAGAAGTGAGATCCTTTTCAAGCTTAGATGCCCCCTGCAAGCAATCAGAGGGAGTTGGCTTCTTATTGTGACAAGAATAAATGGTAGTATCATCAGCGAACAATACCACCTTAGATGTGAGAATATCTGGAAGATCGTTAATGTAAATTAAAAAGAGTATAGGGCCAAGGATTGAACCTTGGGGAACCCCTGAGGTTACAGAATAAGAAGAAGAGTGCTGTCCATCAAGGACAACTTTTATACTACGATTGGAAAAAAAGGATTCAATAATCTTAAAGATGTTTCCAGATACACCGTAAGAAGAATAGTGTATCTGAAAAGATTTTTGAGATTTTAAATTTTTTCCTAACTGCAGTAATAAAGTCATCCTCGAAACTCTTCATAGCTGATTCTGGGCAATATTGTCTTCCTGAATATTTTGCATCTAAAGTGGCAATGTATTTACATAACTAACAACACAACTATATACTCCTGTCTTGACAAAAGTCATTATTTTTTGACCTCCTCTTGTAACAGGGTTTATAATGGCTTGTGAATTTAAAATCTAACAAAATCAGTTATTTGCTGCTAACAGTTACTGCAACATTGTTGACATTCCAAAAAAATGTTTTGAACCATAATAAAAAAATAATAACAAAATGAACCATAATAAAAAAAGTGGCTACTATAGTTTCTCCTTTAAGTAATTTAAGTATTTGTGGAAAGCCCCCCCCTCCCCTAGTATTTGTGGACCCTTTAAATATGAACAATTTAAATGTTGCTTTTTCAAAAATCTATAATACAATTTCCACTGAGCTTGGATTGAGCATATTATATGCATGGATTAGGTGCTTTGAATGCTGCCTTCATATAAGTTATAAAATTGAATTAGGAAAGTGACCGTTATAGGAGATGATACTAAAGAAATTGCTATAAAAAAAAGACAATGGTTCAACAAAAAATGAAAGATCACTTAAGTTTAATTCTAGATGTGCCAAAAAGCAGAGGTTCAGGCACAAAAAATATTCTGAAACTATAAGATCTTTGCTGAAATACTTGGCATGGATTGAAATCTCATGAAACATTTCTACGTAATTCTTTTTGTTTTATCATGCAAACATCAAATTAATGCTGGTGAACTTGAAAAATATACCAAATAAACAGTAGAGCTCTATGTTTCTCTGTTCCCTTGGTTCTCAATGCCTCAAATTATACATAAAATTATGTTCAATTGTACAATAAAATTATGTACAATAAAATTGTACATAATTTTATTGTACTCAAGTTGTAGTGATAAACTAGTACCAGTCTTCTTCCTGAAGAAGACTGGTACTGGTTACCAGTCTTCTTCAGGAAGGCTGGTAATCAGTTTCAATATAATAAATAATATATAAAAATAAAACAAGAAAATATTCAAAAAAGTCACTAATAAAGATATTATGCAAATACTATTGTGCAGTTCAGATCAACTTATTAGCTCTCTAAGAAGGAGTTCAAGATGTAATAAAGAACTTAATGAAAATTGTATTAAACTTTGTAATGAAAATTGTATTTTTGTAAACTTTTGTAACTTTTTTTTAATTTTAAGCTTTTTTATACTTTTACTCCTTATTACTTTGTATAATTTTAATGTTTCTTTGTTTATAAAAAGAGGTCTAACAAGTAACAAACATTTAAATTAATTAATGCTTTGAATCTGAGAAAAACTGTTTCTAAAAACAACCAAAAGTTATGCATAAATTCCCTAACACCCTCTACACCCTTTTCTATTAGGGTTTTAAGGGTGCCTGTATCGAGAGGTTCGGAGTTCGACTCCCACCATGTCCCTGGAAGTACCGCGCTTAACTTAATTTCTCTGTGCAGCGGCCTTGCTTGTCAAGGTTCGTGTTTCGGAGTTAAAGAGTTAAGAGAGGGTTGTACCACGATTTACAACAACAAAAAAAAAAAGTAGCCTCCTCGACTGTAGTGGCCCCCTCGGGCCTTGGGGAGGGAATAATCTGCAAAAAAAAAAAAAAAAATTATTAAAAAAAAAAAAAAAAAAGATCTTCATGATGACTTCATGATCAGAAGATCTTCATGATGACATGAAGATCTTCTTCATGATAAGTCACTGATAAAAATATCAATCTGAAAACTTTAAAAATAAAAGAGTTATGATTTTTTGACCATTTAATGTCAATCTTGGCCCACTTTGCTCTTGTTTGAAGAACAAATTTTCTAGATTGACAAAATTAAAATTTAAACAGCAAAAAAATAAAAATAAACTTTTGTTTGTGACTTATTTATAGTGTAATTCATTACTATAAGCAAATATTCAAAGGAATCAAAAACAAGTCATCAAACAATGTGTTTAACTGCAAATCACAACTCCTGAAGTTTTTTTTTTCTTGAAATTTGTTTCATTAATCAAAAAAGTTTCTTAATTAATTAGAAAAATAATTTTAGGCAAATAAAAATGATTTTTATCAAATAAAAAATAACAAAGATTTTACCAAAAGAATTTTTGTCTGGTGGTAGTATGAACTAATATCTCGAGATAAATAATACAAGAACTTGTATATCTAAAATATGAATAAAAATAATATATCCAAAATTCAAAAACAAAGGATTATAATAAAGTTATAAATAAAAAAATGATTATAACAAAGTTATAAATAAAAAAATGATTATAACAAAGTTATAAATAAAAAAATGATAATCAAAATAATATGACCAAAGTAATATAAAATATCATTAAACTTTTATATTTATATATTATGTATAAATTTTATAAATATATATTAATTTTATAATCGCAAATTTATTTTAAAATCATAAAATATGTAGTGTAATATATTTATGTGTATATATATATATATATATATATATATATATATATATACATATATATATATACATATATATATATATATATATATATATATATATATATATATATATATATATATATATATATATATATATATATATATATATATATATATATATATATATATATATATATATATATATATATATATATATATATATATATATATATATATATATATATATATATAGAGTTGCAACCCCAAAAAAAACGGTGTGTTTTTTTTAAAAAAAACACGTTTTTTTTGCAAAAAAAACAGACTGGTTCTAAAAACATGTTTTTTATAGTTTTTTTTGCTTTTTTTTTAGTATTCATTAAATTTTAGATAATAATAATACTTGAAACAGTTCCAGTGCCCTTAAACCTACAAAATACAAATGTTTTCTATTTAATAAAATGCATATTAACTTATATAATAGCTGTTACAAACTAATCACCAATATTAAAAAAAAACAGTATTAAATATTTAAAAAAGTAATTTTTTAAATAAATCTCAAAAAAACTATACTATTAGCTACTAGTTGATTGTAAGTATAATACTACTGAATGAAGGAAATAAAAATGTTATTTTAGCAGTGTTATTTCATTCATAAAAATGAATGAAATAACACTGCATTGCAAAATACAAAAATGAACCAACTGTTAAATAAAATTTACTTTAATGTTTTATTTACTTTTGTATATTACTTTTTTAAATTTTTAATATTTAATTTCTTTATTTTATTTTAAATTGCAATTAGATAGCTAAAATTTTGTTTATTCAAACAATATTCAAATAAATAAAAATAACACAATGATTAACTTTGTCTAACGAAAAAACATTTATATTAAACAATTTGTAATTATTTTTAATTAAAAAAAAAAAAAGAAATCTAAAAAAAAATATGCCAGGCAGAAAGAAATGTTTTGTAGCTACATTGTTCAATGAGGCACCTTTAGAATCTGGAGGTTCTAAAATTCAACAAGTTATATGCAAATTTTGGAGCTTAAAGCTATCAAAAAATGGCACTCGAATGACTGAGCACATTGCAAAATGTATGAAATGTGGCGATCAAATAAAAAACAAATATTTGAACGATATGCCTTTTAAACAGAAGAAAGTTCAAACTGAACTAATGATGGAAGAAGATATTCCTGAAAACTTACCTATTCAAGATATGAAAAAAGAGAAAAAAATATGTTTATCATCTGCTATTCCACAAGTTCCAATTGAGTCTTTCTTTCCAACACCAAGCTGTTTTGGAAACCAAAGTAGGTCTACAACCCCTAAGTTTGGAGACTGTAAGGCAAATAAAACCAAATCAGATAAGCCTCCCTTAAAACGATTGTATTCTTCAACAAGAGTTCGATTCACAACTCAGAAAAATAAAATTGCATCCTACATTTTAGGAGAGTACAAGAGTTTAGAGTCAGAGTTATCAAGCGACTCTGAAGAATACGGATTTGACTTTACAATAGAAGACCTTAATGAACAAGAAAGCCAGAATACAGAATCTGTTATTAATCAAAAATAAATCTTTTAAATGATGTACTATATATTTACCATATATCATGTTATTAATATATATTATATTACATTTATAATAAAAATAAAAATTAAATAAAAGTAAATAATTTTTTTTTTAATCTAAAAAACAAAAAAAACCATAAAAAACACAAAAAAAACATGTTTTTTTTGCAAAAAAAAACACAATTAAAAAAAAACGGTTTTTTTTGCAACTCTCTCTCTCTCTCTCTCTCTCTCTCTCTCTCTTATATATATATATATATATATATATATATATATATATATATATATATATATATATATATAGTATATTTAATATACCTGGTGAGCATCAACATCTGACATTTTAGAATAGAATTTTGATTTTAAGTTTGAAAGAAGAATACAATAGTCTAGTATATACAACACCAAGCACCACTCACTCTAAAAAATACAAAATTACAAAAATGCAAGACAAGAAATACAAGAATATAATTTTAATACTGCCAAATGCTTATAAAATGCATAGAAATATTTTTTATTAAAAAAAAACAAACTTGTAATGATAAAACTGTAAAATCCATGTTAGATATTTCCATTATAGGAGGATAGACCCCTAGACAAATAAATTTTAAAATTGAAATAAGTAACAACTAACATAAGTGTCAATACAAGCGAATAATTTAGTAGGTAAAATACTTTACATAATATTGATATCCTATTAAAGTGTATGTAAAACCTTGGGTGACAAGTTCTTGATGAGTCTTCAATAGTTTACAAATTCGAGCATAGTTATACATAATGAATAAACTTCTTCGAGAGTCTATTTTATTAATACTTATCTATAAAAATATAAAAGAAGAAAAATGTTAAAGAATAAAACAATAACAACAACAAAAAAACAACAAAAAATCAATGATTACAAATAAAATATTAAAAAAAAAATTTATTTGAATGACATGCAAATTAATATGTATGACAATTACAAAAAAAAAATTATAATATAAAAAAAGTGTTTAACCCTCTCAGAACCGAAAAAAAAAACCCCAAAATATTCTGAGTAAAATTTTTTTGGACTGAATTCAATAAATTTGCAATAGTTTTTGAACTAATTTTTTTTTTCCTTATTTTTTTGGCTTTTGGTTATTTTTTATTATCTTTATTTGTTACTGTGACATGTTTGCATTGATATACCAAAATGTGATGATATATCAAAATATTGATGTGACCAAAAATTCCAGACTTTCAAGAGACAAGTTTAAAAATGTCTGATGTCATGATGTCATTATAAAAATGTCATTACACACACATGCACACACACACACACACACATATATAGCATAAAAAATAAGAAATCAAAGGCGAAGGGTCAATTTGACCGGCTAACACATGGAATTGATGGTTTGTTTAAAATTACATTTGCACGCTCAGATTTTCATTCAATCAAAAAAAAAAGTTTGATAATATCCAATTAATGTTTAATTTTTTTTTTTTTAATATTAAAACAAATTTTATGCAAAATTAAAAAAATTTAAACTGAATATTTAATACTAAAAAAAAATCGTTTTATGAATGCTATTGAAAATTGAAAACGGTTTTTTCTCTTTTTATTCGCCTTCATTAAGACAAGTTGACATTTCATGTTTCTATATATTCAATCACTTTTTTTAACTTTATCAACACTTGTGCGCAAACTTTTTACTATTTAAACTTAATACTATTAAGAAGATAACTAATATTACATAAAACGAGATTTTACTAAACATATATATTTTTGAAAATTTATTATAGAAAATTTTAAGTTTAACAGAAAATTTTAAATTTACCTATAAATCATTCATTTAATACATTTGCAGCAAAAACTTACAAGAGAAAAAAATAAATAAAAAGATAAAAAGAAAAAAAAAAAGTGACTAAGTACATTTAAAAGAAAAAATATTCGAAGATAAATACAGCAATTATCACATATTTTTATATTATTATAAAAATAACATATTAAATATTTTTATTAAAACGATAATATATAAGAACTTCAGTCATTCATCAAAAAGATGTTTTTAACCACCAGTAAAATGAAAGTAATTTGAATAAGTGAAGCAAAAAAAAAAAAAGATAAAGTTTACGTCATAAATTCATCAACGAAGCAAATTAAAGTAGCATGTTGCTAACAATAAAATTTTAAATGTTTATTTAAAATTTAAATGATTTAATGAAATTTTAGTAATTTTCCAAACCACATCATGATTGTTCGTAAAACTTTGTTTTTGCAAACTCGTTTTTTTTTTTTAACTGGTCAAACATGACCAGCAAGAATTTATTTTGGGAGGTCAAAATAGCAATTTTTGTCATTACATGCAATCGTTGACCATTTACCAGTTGCTATTTTTACACTGTATATATATATATATATATATATATATATATAATATATATATATATATATATATATATATATATATATATATATATATATATATATATATATATATATATATATATACGTGGGTGCATATATGTAAATATTAAAGATGATTTCTTTATATTATCATGTATAATAATGTATATTTTAAAGAGTGCTCAATAGATAAACTAGAGCTATATTTATAGAGCTGTCTTTAACAGAAACACTGTAAAAGTAAGCTACAGCTGTACTGAAAATATCGAAAAAATTATTAAAAACCATAACAAAAAAACTATTTTCCTAAAAAATGAAAATAATGACAAAAAATGCAATTGTCGAAAGGAAGTAGAATGCCCCATGAATGTAAAGTGTAAATCCACAAACGTTGTATATAAATCACTGTTCTCCAAATTGACCGCCAGTTTGAAACTCTCCCCACTTTAAATTTTTTTGCATTTAATTAATCATATGCATTAGCAAACACAATTTAAGTTGTCAGAAAAATCTGAACTAAGTGCTAAGTATGTATATTTTTAAAGTTAAAACTTATAATTTTTTTTTTTTTTTTTTCGTAAGTTTAATTAAAGTCAGCCATTATGGTAGTCAAATAAGCTATTTATGGCAATGATATAATTGAATTACGGATATAACTTTCACTTTTCAACATGGCGTCAGACTTCAAATTATGTACGTGTACAGTTTGCTTGATAAATAAAGGTATCAGATCAAAATCTTTAACACCTATAACACCTTCAGTGCGCGAAAAAATTCAAGAATACATCTGGCCAAACTTCGATTCTGATCTTGAAATTTGTCCTTCTGTAGATTGTTCCAACTGCAGTAGAAACTCATTTAGTCTAAACAAAGGGGAGACTGCATATCTTTCCAACTGGTTAGAGACTATATCAAAGGTACTTTAATGTGGATGAATTGCTACTTTTTGTGTTTGTGTGGTTGTCTATATATATTATAAGTATACACACACACTCATATATATATATATATATATATATATATATATATATATATATATATATATATATATATATATATATATATATATATATATATATATATATATATATATATATATATATATATATATATATATATATAATAAAAATCATGTAGTTTTTATGAATAAATATATTAGCACTGATTTAATTTATAAAGCACATTTGTATTTTAGATAAATAGAAATACTATTAGGAGAACCTCTTCACTGCAATGTATCCAGACAGATGTTGAGCCAGAATTGAATTTTTCAAGTGTGAATAAGAAAATCTGTGGGCTCTGCTATTTGAATCTTGGTATGTTAATACTATGATTTTATAATTTAAATAAGATTAATTGAAGTTTGATTCTCTTTATGTTACATTATAGTTTGATTCAATGTATTATTGTTTTTTACGTAATTTCAAGCTACTGTTAAAATAGTTTTTTAATTTCTCACTATTACTTTTAGGTAGAGGAATTTCTCATGATTGTTGCAAAAGTAAAGCTGTTAACAATATAATTGATATTAGTGAATCGCTTGGATATAAAGGTGCAGAGCATGTAGCTTCTGGATTGTTAAAACGTAAAATGGAACGTGAAAACATTGTAAGTGGAGAGCAGTTCGTGTTGTCTACTGGTGGAAATCTTCTCTCTGTTACAGTTGGAGTAAATGAAAATAAGTTGAAAAGAAAGAAAGTAAATCAAGTTTCATTCCAAACTATTATGGAGTTATCAAATGTATTAGAACTCTCTAAGAACAAAACTAAAAAACTGTGTTCTACTTTACGCAGTAATCTAACTGGTGTAGAATCAAACATTAATATTAAAATGACTGAATTACAGGATACTCTAGAAACTTTATATGAATGTAAAACTGAAGAATTCCTTGACGGTGATGAAATAGTTGTTAGAGATATAGTTTATGTCAAGAATACAACTGAGTTTATCAAACTTATAATTGATGAAAGAGGTATTGATACCCCTAATGCAATAGCAAGAATATCTATAGATGGTGGTCAAAACTTCCTTAAAGTTATTATTAATGTTTTTGATCCAAAAAATCATTATTCTTCATCTGAAATGTATGAAGATTCTGGTGTGAAACGTTGTTTTATCCTTGCGATTGTGGAGATGGTTTCAGAGGATAATGGCAATCTCCAAAAATTATTGGAACCTTTGAAACTCGAAGCAGTAGATTTCAGTTTAGCATTTGATTTAAAATGTGCAAACAGTGTTTTTGGACTTTAAAGTCATTCTGGCAAATATGATTGTCTTTATTGTGAAGGAGAATGCTCCCTCAAAGCAGGGAAACTAAGAACATTGGGTTCCATAGACTTATGTTATGATCAATATGTATGTGAAGGAAAAAAAAGACTAAAAATGCAGGATTACAAAAATGTTATAAATCCTCATTTAATATACTTATTAGAAAATAATAGAAAATCAAGAAACAATTCTTGAACACATTGTTCCTCTCATTAATATTACATATTAATGAGAGGATACCATGGAGTAGGTTTAGATGGAAACAATGCTAATAAATTTATGTCCTTGTTCGATGTTTTGGAGAGGGATGTTACCTTAACTGCAACGATTGATATTTTACCAATAATTAATTGTTTGCGTAAGTTTTCATTAGTAAAATCAGCAGTGTTTGGTTTAGAAATGGGTGCAGATATTTCTGCTAAAATCGAAGACTTCAAATGTTCTTTTTCAAGTCTCCAATTATATGCAAAAGATATTTTTGACTATGATTTGAAAGTTTCCTGGAAAATACATACTTTAGTGTGTCATATTCTTCCCTTTATAGAACACAATAATATTAGCTTAGGAAACTATGCAGAACAATGTGATGAAGCTGTTCACCACAAATTTAAAAAAACTTGGGTGAACTATAAAAGACTATAGGTCACAAAAATTATGGAAAAAAGCTAAAATCTGCTGTAGTTAATTTTAATTTAAGTAATCAGTAGCATTAATATAATATGTGTTATATATTTATTTGTTATATGTGTTTTTTGTAAATGAAGTTAATAAATGTTGATGGTTTATTTTGACCACCATAATGGCTGACTTTAATCAAAAAGCGAAAAATTATAAGTTATAATTTTGAAAAATATGTACTTAGCACTTAGTTCAGATTTTTCTGACAACTTAAATTGTGTTTACTAATGCATATGATTAATTAAATGCAAAAAAATCAGGAGTGGGGAGAGTTTTAACCTGGCGGTCAATTTGGAGAACAGTGAAATGTATCATCGCAGCTAAAAATCAGCCCGACAAAGTGAATATTGGATTAACGGAAGGCAAGTGGAAAAACAGATACAACAATCACAAATCATCATTCAATAATGTTAAATACAATAAGTCCACCGCCTTATCAAACTACGTCTGGGATTTGAAAAACAATTTTAACGAAACCCCAATATTTACATGGTCTATTCTGAAATCTGTACCCCCCTACTCAAATATTTCCAAAAGGTGCCCATTATGTCTATACGAGAAATTCACAACTATATCCTATCCTAAACCTGATGAACTCCTAAATAAACGAAACGAAATCATATCAAAGTGCCGCCACGAAAACAAGTTTTTATTAAAAAACTACAAAGCTCGCTACAAATATAACTAACCACTAACATTAACTACGCAACCCTATTTCGTACACCTCTAGGCTAATCAATAAATTATTCACATACACAGCTTTTGTAATATATTTTGTAATATAATTTATATTCTTATACCCACTTTTGAAACTTATTTTTATATTCATTTATTTTTAATACAATAATTTTTAAAAACAATTCACATTATTATTAAACCCTATTTTTATAACAGACATTAAAACATACAACAATTTCACATATATTAACCAAAAACAAATGAATAATAACATTAACCTTAACTACTAAACAGTTTCCGACCCATAACGATCTAAAATACTAATATAAACCATAAATTTTTCCTAAACACATTGTAGCAAAATTAACTTTTGACTACTTGCCTGATGATTGTGGTAACACATGAAACTTTAAGTCGCAATATAATATTATAAATATTAGCATTTAGCTAATTCCTGATACTGCGGGTAACAGTAATATATATACTATATATATATATATATATATATATATATATATATATATATATATATATATATATATATATATATATATATATATATATATATATATATATATATATATATATATATATATATATATATATATATTATGGGGCAGAAGCTATATAAAAGCTGAAATGTTTCTGCTTAGTAATTTATTCAAATGATTACAAAGAGATTATGGAAGAAAATTGCTGAGTGAAAACTAATGTGAAAATTTCAATTTTAATATTTTTACTGTTTATGGAAAGATAAAATAAGAGGTTTATAGTCAATTATTGCATATTTTAAAGCTGTAAACAAGGAGATTAACTTTCGAATAAAAAAGACATTTTTGGGATGTAAAAACTTAACACATTTGTTTCAGTTTAGTAAAATTAAACAATCTTAATAAAATTAAACATGTTTAACAAAACACTTTGCCAGTTAAAGATTTAAACAGAGGAGAGTACAAAATAGTAACTGTAAGAATAAAACACATAATAAATAGAATGCATAATTTAAAAAAAATTTCTTTCAAAAAATGAGTAAAGAACTTTTATACTCCAAAATAGTTCATATTTATGTGATTTCAAAACAAGAGTAACCACTTTATATTGCTATATTTACAATGTACTACTGGTGTATACATTGAATTAGGGGAAAGGGCATGTCTCTTCCCATATTTTTATCATATATGATTCGAAACAGGATAGGGATCAAATATGTATTGGTATTTGTTAATAATAGGCTATGTTGTCGTATTTTTATTGTATTTTATTTAAAAAAAAAATTTAATATTTGTATGATTAAAATGTATTTGAGAAAAACCAAGATAATTTTTTTTCATTAACTAATGATCTTTTTCATTAATACTAAAACAATTTAAAAATTTGTTTTTAAGTGATATTGTTTAAAAACTTCATTTTTCTATTTAGTATACCATTTTATCAGTATTGTTTAGAAAAAATATTTGCATTTTTTCTTAACCTAAAAAACAATTTTTTTTTTTTTGTATTTGTAATTAAATTTAACATATTTATATTTGATTATACATATTTGATTCCAACTGATCTGATCCTGGTACTAAACTATAAAAAACAATCTGGTTTTCATCCCAAATCATCATCAACACTAAATCTGAATCTAAAACCCAAGGTCAATTTCAGAATCACTCTATAAAACAATATCTAAAATCTAAATGATTTTTTCATTTTTTTTTTTTTTTATTACCATGGGTGCTAAACATTTTTTAAAAACCCTGTATTTCTAGAAATAGAAATATATTAAAAACAATTTTTTTCTGAACCCACAATTTTTTTTATTTCCTAACTCACTCAGAACTATACTTTGCAGGAAAAGCACAAAAAGTTACTATTGGTTTGTTTACATGTACTGTGGCATGGGTTACCAGGAAACATTCATGATTTTTATCAGAACTGAAAGGGTTAAGTGATTAGAAACAACTTGTTATGTTACCGCATTGGTCTCTGACAGAGAAAATAGATCAAGTTTAATAGATGACATAGCAGTATTATTGATTATAGCTTCCCATTCTGAGTTTCCTACAAATGAAGCAGAAGCTTCTTAATCAACTCATATAAAAAAACTAAATAATTAATAAAAAAATAAATTAATTTGTGAAAAAATTTCTAAACAAATGAATAGTTATAAATTATTGAAAATAAATGTAAATATTGAAAGTAAATATCCAGAACATGGAACTGTATAAAAATGAACACAAATAAAAATTTGAAAAAACAAAAACTACATAAAAACCTTGGACATTTTTTCCAAACTTTGATATGTATGAATTCAAGAGTTCTTGTTTGCGGAGGCTTTTAAAAAAGAAACCATAAAATAGAAAACAATTTTATATACATACATATACATACATCAGCCCTCAGAAATAGGGTTGGCATTGCCGACTTAACTGACAACCTCTAACAGATTAAGGTTGGCAAACTATTGCCGAACTCATTTTTCCCCCAAGGGCTGCATGCATGCATGCATACATACATATATAAAAAAATTTTTTAAAATTAGTTTTTTCCTATTTTTAACACATATAGAGATTTTTAAAAAGATGTAAGGCCGTTAAATTAATTGCGAATGCATGTAAATTAAACATTTTTAAAATTACCTCAAAAAACGCAATCTTAATTGACTTGAATCCTTATTTTAATGTGGAATATATTTGTTTTCTTTTCTAACGTTTTATGCTGTACTAATTATTATACTATATTTTACTTGATTTATTTTATCATTTTTTATTTAATTTATGTTATATTGACTGATTTATTTATGGACTGGTGCAGAGTGTACATACATCGGTTGACTTAAATAGGTAGAAATGAAAAGAGGGTATATTAGAGAGAGACATGGTAATAGGAATTGCGGTATTACCATGGTTAATGTGATAATTAGAGCCATACAAAGCCACTTAGAGAAATTACAATGTTTAATAAACTACAGTAATAACAGGCTTGGTAATACTGCGGTAAAAAAAGTTAATAGTAAGAAATATAATTACCATTATGAAGTTATTTCTACATGATTTGAAAAATTATGTTATTTTTGCATGGTTTAAACAAAGGATAGATATGAGTAATAATATAATTTAACCATGAACAGTTTTAACTTATGAATTAACAAAAAAAAAGTTAATATCCAAGATTTTTATATGAGTTATTACTTGGATGTAATTTACTGGTTTGTGAAAATTGCTTTATTGATAGGGATTGAGACAAACTAAATGGGGACAGGACAAACCTGATGGGGATAGCGTGGGGATGGAAAAATATATATGGGGATGGGGTAGAACGTGGATGGCTTCTGTTCCTGTGTCACTCTCTAATGCACATACATCAAATGACTTAAATAGGTAAAACATGCAAAAAATGCTGGTTTTGCTCAAATACATTGACTCTAAATTTTAGCTTGGGCAGGCTATTTAATATACACAAACACACACACACACATAAAACACACACAAAAATTAGTAAAGTAAAAACAATTCAAAGCAACAACTAAAACAAAAATATAATAAACAAAAAATAAAAGTATATAAAAAACATTAAACCTCAGCCATTCTTCTAGAACATCTTTAGTGTTTTTGATGCATATGGTTGACTATAGTTTTAAAAAATTTTCTTTTATTAATAATCACATTTGAGTTTAAATTTATCTTTCAAAAAACTTACAAAAGTACACAATGAGCCTGGATTAATTATATTGAGCAACACATATGATTGCAGCAAGCTGTGATAATATTTCTGAGGCAAAATATGCACCATCTTCTGCTTCTAAATTTAATACATAAATCTAAGGGCTGTGAATCATAATCATCATTTTCTGAAAATTTTTAGAAAAACTAAATATTAACTTAAATTATCATAAAAAAATTAGTTATAAAAAAGTCATTTTGTTGCTGGGTTTATATGTGTAAAGAATTGTTAGGGTGTTTATAAGCATCATGTTGAATTGTAGAAACTGTTAAGTAAAAAAATTTAATAAGACATGTGCCAGAAAAAATCTGTGTTGATATTTTAAATTTTTTCAAGTACTGTGTTTCGATATTGAATGCTATATATCTTTTGAAAGTACATATATTAAAATTCTTATATTTCACTTAAGTATGTTTATGAAGTTGTGCACGCATGCACTTTGCGTTTTACACTAAACAGCAGCTTTTGAATGGTCTTCAGTTTGAATTTCTTGGTAGTTCTAATCCATTTAATATTGAAGTCTTGGATGTTTCTAGATTTTTTTACATTGAACCTAAGCTTTTCTTAGACAAGTTTTCTTAGCCCAATATCTTTCAAAAGGTTGTAGTTTGGGACAACTTAGTGTACTGTAATGTTTTTCAACAATTGTTTATTCTTAAAGCCAGTTTAAAGTAGTTCCATAGTAGTAACATATTGCTAAATTGGGAAAAAATAAGAGATTACCCAAATGAGATCTTAAAAACAGCAAAAAGATGCTTTTTGAGGCATTCTTTGATGTATGTTTTGGCGTTTATTGTTTCCATAGCCACACAACAAAAGACTCGTTCACCATACTCACATATTGCTTACCAAACTAAGAGTTTTTTTGAATTTTTGCATTCCAATGCATTTATATTTGGAACTCAGTTTCTTGGGATTAATTGCTAATTAATATTGGTGTCCTAGAAGAGATTGGAAATATACAGCACACTTGGTGTAGTTAAGGCAACTTAATAATATTATAGCGTCTGTATGATATTTGGTTGACTACGACATAATTCTGTTAAATGATTAGGTCTGTGAATTATGAAAAGATGAAAAACATTAAAATGATAAATTTTGCGGTATCATAAAATATAAATGTGAAAATATAGTGAAAAAACCCAGACCAGTTATTCTTTTTTTTTTTTTTTAAATTTTTAAAATCACAATCGCTTGTTTAAATTTTAATAAGATTTTTAGTGGCAGTTGGGGCTGGAAAAATTAATGAAGGGATCCCCAACTGCCAAGACAAGTTCTGCTCATAATAAAGAAAATGTTTAAAAAAAACATTTGGGCTAAATTTTTTTGATCGAAACTAAATAATGAATGCATACCAATAAAATCAAAATTATTATTTTAGTGGAAGCTTGCCTTCTCCATTTTTTTTTTTTGGTTCTTGGAGTCTGTATAATGTTAGCCGCAATCTGCAGACTTGATAATTTATTCCATGCATGTTTAATTCATAACAGTTTTGGTATATGACGCCATCACAACACCTTTTTAAGATAGCGTTTTTTTTTGTTGTTGTTGTTTTTAAAGATATAAGTATTTTTTCTACTACAATCAAAAAATCAAATGTTTGTATAATTATTTACTAAATCACAAAAAATATTTATGATTTATTAATAAATTATGCACATACATGTATATATATTTTTATATTTATAATTTTTTTTACTTTATTATTACTTTGTTTTAGAAACGAGCCAATATCATGACACAACTATACATATTTTGTGATTATTAGAGTTTGCAGGCAGAGAAAAAATAAAGGCAGTATGATGCGGTTTCTTGTTTTATATTTAGTTCATATGGTTTAATAGAGTTATTCGTTTTATGTTTAATTATTATTTAGTTATGGTTTAACTCTTTCACTGCCACAAGCCACTGGTAGCGGCTTTCGAGTATGCTTTACAATTTATATTGTTTTTTACATAAAGTTTCTTTCTTAACACATAGAATTTGTTTGTTCTTAAGGTTTAATTAATTCTCTATATAATCAAGAAAAAATAAGAGCTATATTTTGTAATTATAAAAAAGTTATCACAAAGTTAAAAAATCTTGAATAACCCTTCATAAAAAAAACTTCTTTAAACTTTAGTTATAAAATAAAACAGTGTTAACACTGTAAAACTTAACTTGTAGAAGTGTTAAGTATTTAGTTAAGTAATTACTAAAGTATTTTGACTAAAAAATATTCTTTTTATTCATTAAATGAGGTTTGTTTTGGACTTAATGTTTTAGTTACTACATATAAAAACAATAGTTTTAAGCACTTTGCATTTTTTATTGTTTAATGATGTGTGTTAAAAACTTTATTATTATTGAATTTTAAATAATTGTCAATGTTATGCTATTCAAATTTTATTCAAAAAAATGTGCGGTTGCTACAAAAATATTTTTGTTCGGCTTGTAGCAAACAAGTTAATTCGATTCTTCATTTTTATATTTATATTATAACTATTATACTATAACTATAACAAATATTTGCTTTAACTTTAATTTAGTTTGCTTTGTACATTTATTAGTAAAATTTTTAATATTTATTTGTACATTTATTAGTAAAATGTTTATATGTTTATATGTTTTATTCAAGTCACTCGTTTTTCAGTTTAAATTAATTTATACGCTTTAGTAAAATTATTCTTTTAGTATCTAATTTATATTTAGTTTAAACCAGTACGTTTTACTGTAAATATTCATTATATATTAAATTTTTATTTTTATAGATTTTATAAATTTAATTTTTAATTGCATCAAAAACTTTTTTTGGGATTTAGTAAAAAGTTATATTCAATTAACATGATTTAGTGAGTGTGGCAAAAAAATAATACAATATCTTGAAAGAAAAAATTAAAATGATGACCTCATATAACAAAACTGTTATAAACACGCATGGAATAAATTATCAAGTCTGCAGATTGCGGCTTACATTATACAGACTCCGAGAACAAAAAAAAATGGAGACGGCAAGCTTCGACTAAAACATGAATTTTATAATTAATGGTGTGCATTCATTATTTAATTTTAATCAAAAAAATTTAGCCCAAATTTTTTTTTAAAACATTTTCTTTAATATAAACACAACGACTCGGCAGTTGGGAATCCCTTTAAATAAATTTTTTAGGTGAAATGAATATTATAGCTGAACAATATGATCTGTTCGGTTTATTGGTTCGATTCTGTTTATTGGCAACTTTTTTAAATTATAAGCTCTTTCTTAGTCAGAATTCTAGTATTTTTTGTGAAAATTGATAGAAATATTGTGTTTTGACAACTATATATAGTTAATATATGTCAAAACCGTAAGTAGTAAATTATTGAACTTTTTGAAAAAATTTGAACTAAATTCATGTTAACGCCAATGAATGGAATTGATCGAAAGATTCCAAAATGGTATTCTTTAGAATCACTATTAGGGGTAGTAAAAAGGTTTTGAAAATTATATATATAAAAAAAGGAAAGTCTCTTTAAATATTATAAAAACTTGAAGCAAAAAAAATTATAACATTTAAAGATCTTGTTTGGTATAATATGCTGACAAAACCATGCTAATTCAATAAAAGAATTTGAATAATTTGTAAATCACCTTTACTACACCAAGCAATAAGTTTTATCATTAATAATCAAACAAGATTTTTTAGGACATAAATTTTTATCGAACAACTTTGAGCGTTAAATTGCAAAATTTTCATGTTTTTTTTCATGACTAGAAACTTTTTTCTTTTTGTAAAATTTATAGCCACAATTTCTCTGTATAGTTGTATAGTTGTCTTAAATTTATTTGCTAAAGTTCAAACAGAAATCTCTGGGTATATGTGTAAGGCATCTTTTACTTTTTAAACAAGATCTCGTCAAACAAAAACTTTTTTTTTTCGCTTCCTGATTTCCTTTTGATTGTACCAGTGCCTTTAAATTGTTTCACAGCACTTTGCACTATTCTCAAAGTAATCTGCAAATCTTTTGAAATTGTTTTCCTTTGATACAACAGGATTTTCAACAAGAAAATCCAAAATTTTTTCTTGTTTCCTTTTTTTTTGATTTGATGTCATTTCAATTAATACTAATTGTTTTGATAACAGTGTTGTTTAAACTTTAAATAACATTAATGCAATGATATTTTAAAACAATTAGCTAATTAAAGTTTTTCGGTTTTCATAAACACCACATCAGAACACTTGCATATTTTTTCTGGTATATATCTTAGTTTTAACAAATATGAAAAATATAATACCTTTCAAAGATTTATAATAAAATACCTCTCTTGTTGATAAACTGTTAATACAAGCAGCTACCTTGACAACATTGGTCACTTCATTATTTAACAAAACTAAATAAAAATTTATTAGTAACATTATTTATCAGTCTAAAGATTATTTCATTTTGTGAAAAATAATTTTAGATCAAAATTTATAAACTGTGAAAAACTTTTTTTAACAATTTCCGAGTCTCTAATGCTCAAAATCTCAAAAAAAAAAAAAAACACTTGGATTTTTAAAAACAACAAAAATGTAAACAAATCATTTTGTTAACAATCCATCATTGCATGGAAACACTTACACTTGTACATTTTTTTTTTTTTTTTTTCTTCACTTCCAACAAGGCTGCAAGCAACCACTATAAGAGTTGGAAGTTACTGGAAGAGAAAAGACTAAATCTGTAGAGCAAGATGACGATTGACTGATGACTTAAAAGATTGCAAATTATATGAATCAGGAAAGCAAGATGAAGGAAGCGAATTCCAAAGAACTGATGTTCGAGGAAAAAAACTAGAAGAATAAGAGTTTTTGAAGCACTTAGGAACAGTCACAGAAAAAGGATGAGACTTAATTGAATGGCGAGTAACACGAGAATGAATTTTAGTAGATGGCACAAGGGACGCTAGCTCTTTAGAGCAGTGCCCATTATAGTATTTGTAGAAAAGAGAAAGAGAAGCAACATTACGACGATGTGACAAAGGTTGGAGATTGGCTGCCAGAGCAGGTCCAACTATGTTTACAATTCGTTTTTGCACCTTGTCTAAAAGAGAAAGAGCATCATTAGAAGATCCGCCCCAGATGTGGCAACAGTATTCCATACAGGGACGGATTTGAGATTTATAGAGATAGAGAATAGAATCTGGAGTAAGAAAGTGTCGAGCTCGATAAAGAGATGCAACCTTAGCAGATGCTAATTTTTAATGTACATAGCACTTACAGGTACTTGACTTTTATTTATTTATTGAAAACTTTTTAATTTTTGTTTATAAGCTTAAATTTTATTTTTTTTATAATTTTTAATATAAATTAATAATAATTATTTTAATATGATTTTAGTTCATTCAAGTGATTTAAAAAATAGTTGATAAGATTAAAATACGCTTCAAGAGCTTCAATTTAATTAATGTGTAATAAATTTGATGTGTTAGAACAATACTATTATCAACTATCTGCATAAGTGTATATTTTGTAAATACAGTTAATTCTTAATAACCTGAGCCTCCAAGAGACTATGGAACCATTTACATAGGGTAAAATTATAAAAAAAAAGAGTACATGTCTGTTTCAGCCTTTTGTTCTTAATTATTATAATAAGTTACTTTTTAATTACTTCACTAATAAAGAAATAATAAAATAAATGTTAATTACTTCACTAATAAAGATTGTTTTCTTGACTTCAATAGTTGACTGGTATCAAATCAAATAAATCAATTCAAGTAACAATTTCTTAGCATACAAACATATTAAAACAATAATCACCATCGTTTAGTATACAATTATTGAGTGAAATACATTAAATAAAATGATATTTTAAAATCATGAATATATTAGTATGTCAATAGTTTCTAATAGCAAAAACTATAATGTGCAGGTGTCTTGTTATTAAATATTTAAATCCTTTTAGGTGAATTTGTGTCATTCTAGGATAGCAAGGAATTGCTTGGTGTTGTTAAACTATGCTGGTAATACTTTGGTAAACAGGGTTTTGTGAGTTTGACGATATGTTATATTTAAAAAGTTCTATTATAAAAAATCTGACTCTCAAAATCTCAAATCTCCACAAATAACCTCAATTAATACATTTGAAAAGACACTAAAGTACAGTTTTATTTCTAGACAAAAATCAGATTTAAAGAAATAACCTCAAACTTACTTGGTATAAATCGAATATCTTTTAGAAATTCTAAAAAAAAAGTATAAGGAAATATTATTTTTATTTTCAAATAAATCTCTTGAATTTGAATTTATTCTACATAAGAACTAAACATTCTACATAAACATTTCAGAATCCACAAATAAGCCACATGTAGTTATTATTTTATTAGAAACTATTATAACTTCAACTATCAAACTTTTAAAAAAATAATTAAATAAACAGGACTTGTTTTGTTATTAATTTTTTTCAGTTCTACTAATTGTATTAAATACAATTTCTTTTCTTTAGAAAGGCTACTACCTCCAATAAAATTTTCATTGAGAAACCTTTTACCATCAATAGATATAAGATTGCCATTTTTCAAGCAATATTTACTGTCACAGAGTTTCTTCAAAATGTTAGGTAAGTCTTCAACTTCTTTGAAATTTTCTTTAACATAAAGATTGATAGAATGAAACTTCTCTTGGTGCATATACTGGACAGTATCAACTTCTGAAAATATGCAAGCCGGAATCAGACTAAATATAAAACAATAATTTTATAATGTTATAAAAAAATTATTTATGTGTTATATGGTATTCGTTCTTTTTACTGCTGTTATGTGAACAGCAGTAAAAAGAACAAAAAACAACATTAATGACCGCAAGGTCAACTACATTTAATGAACAAATGTAACACAAATAATGATAAACAAATGATAGTTTTAATTTAATTCGAATAACTATATCATATAAGATCGCAACAAACAATTGCAACAAAATGTTGCAATTTAAATGACTGTTAAGTAAATAGACTCATATGAGTAAAAGTGGGGATTCAACGTAATTAAAAACTTTATTTACGTTAAATCTTTTAGTTTAACTAATAAAAATAATTTAAATTATCTTGGGCTTGTTTATGCTAATAATACCTAATTGGTTTTATTTCTTAAAAAAAAATTATTAATATTTTTATGTTTCTATTAGAATTTTAATTTATTTTGTTTTCATGTTTTCTTTTGGTGGTATGGTAAGTGTTTTATTTAGTTATTTTTATTTTTGTTTGTTCAGTAGATCTACACTTTTATATCATATCATCAAAAAAATATTGGTGCTTTACAAATTTGGGGTTGGTTGGGTTTTGGCTATTTGTAGTGAGTCCTTTTTTACTGCAGTATGGAATAAGCATAAGTTGCGGGGTAAAGCTTAAGTGGTGATGACGTTTGCCTGACAGGATAAACTAGTTATAAATGCTGATCCTCATTGAAATGCCAGTAATAATAGACGTGACTCTAAGGAGATGTTTATTACTTAATCACTATACAAATTATGTTTATACATTAAAATTAATGTTTTTTTTTCCGTTCTGAGGCCTTTGATTGTTGTTAGCATACTTTTTATTTTGTGATCGGTTTTTTGTTTTATAAGTTTTTTGTCTGTAATTTTAAATTTACTGTACTTTTAGTTTAACTTAGTTTAAAATCTTTTTAACATTTTTCTGTTGGAAACTGAAAAGTACATTAAGTACCTTTAAAACTATTATATAAGGGTGTGTTGCATTATTATATTTACATAACACTTACACCCTTATATGAAAATATGTAAATAACTTATTTTTTTAGTGCTAAAAAAGTGAGCAAACAGTAAATGATAATGTTTGCAAGATATAAAAACTTGGGTTCTGATTTTTATTTAATATTGGAAATATATAAGAATTTGGGTTTTGATTTTTAGTATGTCATGAAACTTGCAATCTAATTCCTTACTTCTTAATTTCCACTTAGCACATAAAACCTCAAAAAATTCAACTTAACACACAAAACCTCAAAAAAATATACATATAGAGGCAACTATGCATAAAACTTAAAGGTTGCATATATTTAAACACAATAAAAGGTATACATACAGTAAAACTTTTACTCTATTTCTACAGTAAGTGCATTTTTGTTAGTATGTATACCTTTTTTTGTGTACTTTTTTGGTACTTTTAAAGTACCACAAACCAGACACTCTTCACAAAAAGCTAAATAATTTATTTAATATTGAGAATTTGTAGAATTTTTTTTCCTGGAATTTATGTTTATTAGAGCAATTCTGCAGCGTAAAAATAATTTTTTTAATTTCAAGTTTCTATGGCAAATAAGATTTTATTTTTTGAAAAAGTGTTAGCTTTTTGGAAAATTGTCCCATAAAATGGATAGTTCCAAATCATATGAAAAAAACGTAGATAAATTGATAAATTCAATATTTTTTACTTTTAATTTTAAAATATACACATAACAATACAATAAGAAAAAGCTAGAAAAAAACATGAGCAAGTTTGAGCTTGAAATAAAAATAAAATATTTATAAACTAGGTTCTGCAACTTTTCGTGCAAAAGAATTCTTCGCCTTCTGTATATCTTTTTAGGAAACAAAGTTCACAAATCCACAACTGCAACTTGATTTTTCTCAAGTTTTCCATAAAACTTGCATCTCTGGCTTTTCATTTTCAATACTTTGGGCACTTTTTGTACTTTTTTTGGCTTTCCTAGCAGAAGTTTCTACTTCTTCTGCTGCAATTTCAACATATGTTCATTTTTAAAGCTTTGCATCTTCTTCTCTTAACTAGTCTAACCACGCTTCTTCTGTAAAAGCTTGACCAGCTAAAATTCCAAAATGCTTTCTGGCTTTTTTAGCAGGATGCTAAAAAAGCCAGAAAGCATTTTGGAATTAAAATTGCTTAAAGAGAGCTCTTTCAAAACTGATTTTTACACGAGTTACCAATTCTTCTTGAGAAGTTAAATTTAAAATTGGAATTTAAGTTAGAGTTGCAAGTGGTTTGTGTTTGTTGAGCAGTTTGAGGCAAAGAACTTGGGCTGCGTGGAGATTTTGTAACCGCTTATGTTATTAAAACGTTATTAAAAGTTTGACGAATTTTTTTGATTTGTCAATATTGTCTTGATTGGAAAAAGCAATCATAGAGCCATTTTGGAGCCATCATGGAGTCCAGTGTTTTCAAAATCAGCAATAATTTGAGTACAAGTGTAAGCTTCATTGCTTCTATGCAGCTGTTCTGAGGACTTGGGAAATTTTTTGGATAAATTGCTAAAACCACTTTCAGCATAAAATTTTTGAAAAACATCACTGATCTTTGACATGGCAAAATACACCAAAGACAAGAGGCTGCAGAATGTGAGATAAATAGGCAGGAATGCAAATTAGTGTTATATTGTTTTCTTTAGACTTTAAGGCTACACTTAATGATATGTGTGTGCTGTGGCCATCCAATAGTAAAATATGTTGACCACCAATTTTCTGAATGTGAGGAAAAAACATTTCATCAAGTCACTGCAAAAATTGATTACTTTCCATCCAACCAGATGTTGATATTCTGTAAAGTGTGTTTGGTGGGCCTCCTTTTATTCAATCATCATAGAGTCGATTCTTTGATTTGTAAACAAAAAAAGACGGTAGAAAGAATCCGTCAGCATTAACAAAAATATTTTTTCATTATTTCCAGCTAATACTAGTGGGCACTTTAAACCTCTTCTGGTAATTACTTTTGCATCGCTTTTGTTATCGTTGAAACCAGGTTCATCACAAATCCACAAATACATGGCTTTATTTAAATCTATTTTAGCTAAATCAAAATGTTTTTTCAAAACATCAAAATAACGGGCAATAATTTCTATTGTGCATGACCCTACTCTCAAAGATGCGCTGTTTGTAGCTGTTTTTTGGCTTAGTTCTGAGTGCCATTGACTCATAAATCTTTTGGACCATTAAAAAGTCAATTTTCAAAATGATGTCAATCAGCTTGCTACTTATTTTATTTTCAAAAACCAATCTGATGTTAATCAAAAATAGTTTTAAAAAAAATGGAATTGAAAAAAAATGAAGTCAGCAATAAGTTGCTGACCTTATTTTTTATAATTCCGAGGGTTGATAGAAGCTAAAATTGCTGAAAAGAAATAATTTTAATATAAACAAATTAGAGTTGGTTTATATAAAATTTGACTTTCCCATAAAGAACACATAACTTAGTGCAAAATGAATGGCTGCAACATACAACATAAAAATAAAACAAACAATTTAAAATAAAAGATAAAATAAAAAACTTACTTTGAACATGTAAGCTTATGTAAAAAATGTGTCAATAAAGAAATTCTCATAGCAACAACACTTTGTAAATCATCAAAAACATGGGAGATAAGTAAAATGTTACTTTTCTCTATTTTGTCTTGCTGACCTTCAATTTTTATTAAATCAGAGTTGTTAAAAGATGACTTTTTTTCATTTTTGTCTTGCTGATCTTTAGTTTCTAATAAGTTAGAATTGCTAAAAGACGTTTTTTCCAAGGAATTGACTAAACCAAGCATTTCTGTTTCATGTTTTGTGTTCATAAAATCTTGTTCATTTTTTTTTAAACAAAAGTGTTTTAGCAATGTTTGTATAACATTTTTTCTGTTTAATGTAACATAAATCATGGTTTTTCTCTCATTCTCTGCCACAGATGAAACAAAAAATGGATTCCAATCATTTTGCTATTAGTAATAAAAAGACAAGTATATAAAGTAAATATATTATTATACAAATATAGTAAAAAATATAAAATTTCTCTCAAAGTATTTTTCATATTTTTTTTTTGTGTGTGTCTATATATAAAAAAAAAAATAATTTATATTTCCATAAGACTCAATTAAAACTTTCATAAAAATATATTAAAACGTTTTACTTTTTTAGTTATCGCATCATTCAGTTTTTTAACTTGAAAGCCAATTTCTCCATGTTCTTTGGTTTTGATCAAAAATCCACAGAAATCTGTCTTTTTCTTTTCTGTAGTTGGAAATTTTTTTTCTGGAAGTAATAAGACGGTCTCTTCTTGGATATGAGAAATAATGAACCCAAGTTTCATAAAGTTCATCTTTTTTACATATACTTTTATTACTTTTTTGAGCTTAAATTTTTATTGTGCATATTTATACATATATATATATATATATATATATATATATATATTAGTGATGTACCGATTGCACATTTTTGGCCGATGCCGATACCGATGCCGATGGATAGGAAAAGGCCGATACCGATGCCGATACCGATAGATTAACTAGCTATTATAATTTGATAATATAAAACCATACATCTTTAAATCGTGTAAAATTTTTCATGGAATCAGAACTGGTAAGCAAATACTTGGACCCAAATCAGAGTCAAACCTTTATTTCAAAAGATATTAGAAAAGCTCAATCAAATAAATATACATTTTTTACTTTTTTTTAACTATGAAAAGAAAACTTTCAAAAAATAAATACAATTTTAGGGATAAAAATAAAAAAATGCCATCGGTTGGAAAATCGGTAAATTGATAAAGAAAGACCGATGCCGATACCGATACCGATTGTGCAAAAAGTGGCCGATTAAGCCGATGCCGATGCCGATTAATCGGTACATCTCTAATATATATATATATATATATATATATATATATATATATATATATATATATATATATATATATATATATATATATATATATATATATATATATATATATATATATATATATTACTTTTAAAGATAAGACAAATTTTTTAATTTTATTTAAAATCATAAAATTAAAAAATTGGTCTCTCATTTTTAAAAGTAATATCACATTTTGTGCTGAAAAGAAGTTATGGTAATATGTATATATATATATATATATATATATATATATATATATATATATATATATATATATATATATATATATATATATATATATATATATATATATATATATATATCACATTGCAATTGGAGGAAGTGTTTGTTTAAAGGTGAAAAGTAAAAAAAAAAAGTTTTATGAAGAAGAAAAAACTCAAAAAACATTTTGGTAGTAATAGTTTTTTAAAAAAAGTGTATAAACAAGAATAGAGGATTTAAATAAATAAAAATAAAAAGCAAGAAGAAAAAAAAGAAACAAATAAAAACAAAGTTAAAAGAAAAAAGTCTTCAAAAATGGAAAATAATAAAACAGAACTAAATCTTTTTTCTACTACTAATATTTTATTGAAAGGAAAGAAAAAGAACAATTTTAATTAATTTTGTACATTGTTTATATGTCATGTATTTATGCATATAAAAAATGTTGAATATATTTCTTTTTTTGCATTTTTCTATGTCAATTTAGTTGTTGTTGCTTTTTCTATATCTTGATATTTACTTTTATGTAACACATAGGCTTTAATAAGTATGTAGTAGTGTATGTATATATTATTTTTTATAAAATTAAGTTCGCCTTTACTTTGTTTTTTAATATTTTTCTATGAAAATTTTTTTTTATCCTTCTGAACAAATGTTATTAAAATTTTTGTTTTCTCTAACATTTTTTCCCACTTATCTTATCTCACCCGCTCGATCTCTCTCTTTTTTTCATTTTTCTTAGCCTTACTCTTTTAAAATTTTTGTATTCAAGCACTGTATATATACAGTGCTCGAAGTGAGGCAGGATGAGGCAGGATGCCATCCTGTCATTTTTTTAAAAAGTATAAACCATCCTGTCACATTTTTATAAATCTATAATATATAATATAATATATATATATATATATATATATATATATATATATATATATATATATATATATATATATATATATATATATATATATATATATATATATATATATATATATATATATATATATATATGTATATATATATATATATATATATATATATGTATGTATATGTATATGTATATATATGTATATATATATATATATATATATATATATATATATTTATATATATATATATATATATATATATATATATATTTATATATATATATATATATATATATTTATATATATATATACAGGGTTCCCACTTTTAAAACTGAGGCTAAAAGTAAGGATTTTAAGGAGATTTAAGGAGATTTGGTAGCGAACTACAATTTTTTGAAGAAAAAAGTAAAGAGAATTAAGGAGAAAATGATTACATTAAAAACAGAATTTTATTTTTTTCAATAAATTAGAAATATAAACAGAAAAATTATTATAAATTAGTATATTACATGATGTATATATAAAAATATATATAATAGAAGTATAGGTTTGTAAACTATCAAAGAATTATATATTTGCTTAGTTATTAATAAGTATAATCCATTCACTTTAACAAAATTTCCTAGATAATTGATAAAAAAAAGAGGATAAATTAAGGAGAGCAGTCAAACTTTACTTAAACTGTTGATATATACATAACTTAAATTAGGGAAAATGTAAAAGAAAAACCAGTTTATGTTATATATATATAACTTAAATTGGTTTTTCTTTTACATTTTCCTGGCCTCTAAATTTTTTTGTATTAAGCTTCTTTTAATATCTACCAAAATTGTCTTAATTATCAAAAAGCTTAAAAATTTTTTTTAGCATTACCAAAATGAGTTATTAAAAATCTTATTTTAAATTCCCAATTACAAGAAAGTTGGTTATTTGACTCATCAGAAAAAGTCTTTGAGTCTTTGCTGATGAAACACAGTGTAAAATGAAAAAAAAAATTCTTGTTAAGTCATTTTCTACTAATTTATATATATATATATATATATATATATATATATATATATATATATATATATATATATATATATATATATATATATATATATATATATATATATATACATATATATATATATATATATATATATATATATATTTAAACATATATATATATATATATATATATATATATATATATATACATATATATATATATATATATATATATATATATATATATATATATATATATATATATATATATATATATATATATATATATTTAATTTAAAATGTATTCCACAAAAAGAGTGCTCAATGTTCTTAAAAGAACAGAGCAATTACAAATTAGTAGAAACATGGTGTTAAATGAAAAAAATAATTTGCAAAGTGATTTTCTACTAATTTATATATATATATATATATATATATATATATATATATATATATATATATATATATATATATATATATATATATATATGTATGTATATATATATATATATATATATATATATATATATATATATATATATATATATATATATATATATATATATATCAAAATCCATTTCGATTTTTTGTTTAATAAACAATCTTGGTTTGCATGTGTAATAATAACAGGTGCTGTTTTAAGGATGAACCAATTCAGTATAAAATCAAATATAAAATTCAGTATAAAATCAAATATAAAACCTAAAGTAATGCTTTTTGCAAGCTTTTTTACGGTCTAAAAATTAATTTTGTTAAGGACATATTTTAATAAATTATTTTTGTTACAAATTCCCCAATGTAATATGAAAGTAATGCTTCAAAAGCAAATCAAATAATCAATACTTTTATCTTTTATTTCCATATTTATTTTGACAGCATGGTGTCTTTTGAATATTTTTTATTTTTCAAGGATTGCTTATGATTGGCAAAATGTTTTTTCCAATCACCTTCTGTTATGCCAATATATTGTTTATCAGGTACATTCATAGAGGAAACAACAGACTTATGTAACACATTTTTAATAAACAACTTCCACTCATTGGACAATTGTTTTTTGCTTAAAATTACAACTTTCAGTAGTTTTTTCATTTAGGATTTCGTCTAACAAAGCATTATTTTGACCATTTATAATTCTTTCCATATTTTTTGTGCAACTGTAGCTAACTTTAATTGTATTTGGAATAAAAATTTATGTAATTTATTAGAGGGCAGGAAATGCTTATCGACTGATTTTAAAAAACACTTTTCCTACATGAGTGACAACATTTTTGCTATATGGGGGGTTGAACTAAATTACATTTCTAGTTCAACCCCCCAAAAAACAATTTTTTTAAAGGACATCTTCAAAAATTTGTTTAGAGGAATTGAATACATTTTCATTGAAGGAGTTTTGGTTTAGCCTGTTATTAATTGAAATCAGGATTTGGGGTGGATGATTTGAGATAATATTAATATACAATAATTATTCTTTTTGTTTTTTAGAAAGGCTTATATGAGTTTTCAGGGAGGTTAAATTTGACGTCAAGAAAGTTCACAACTTTTAAATTTATGTTTATTTCGATTTGAAAGCCAATAGTTTTAAAAACTTTAATATCTTTTCTAATTTTATTGAGTGTGAAACAGATTTTTTACGCATTACTATTAAACCATCGTTGTAATAAAAGATTAAATAATTATATTGGTTATTTTACTTAAAAAATCTAAATAGTCTAACAAATTCACAAACTTCTGCTCCATCACAACTGCCCATTGTAACATCAAAGCAGTCATGTATGTTTTTTTTTCTTTCCAAGTTTCATTATTAAAATAAAGTAAGTTTTTTTTACAATGTTTTATTATACAGATTGTTTCTTCAGGAATAACTGTGTGTGTGTGACCATTCGGCGAATTTTAAAGTGTGGCTTTTCTCAAATTTAATTGTTTTATCTAAAATATCTGCAGTTATTGACGGGTAAAAATCATTAATGTCAAACTAAATAAATGTACAGTCATTTTTAACTTCGATTATGGAGAACCAATTTATAACATTAGTGGTATTTTTCAACTGTTGCAAATTTAATTTATTTCAGAATATCATTAACTTTGTCCAATTTAATTTTACTTATGTCTAATCTCACTTTTTGAGGGAACCAATAATCTACAAGGAAGTTTGTTTTGAAAATTCGGTCTTTTAATGTTACGAAGGCTTGGGCAGGGGCAGTTGATTCGATTTTTCTATCAAGGCAATACTTTGTGCTTCTAAATTAATTGCATTTTTCATATTTTTAGGGGCTTTCTCATAAGAACTAGTAATATAGTCATTGGCGTAGGAAGGTTTTTAAATGTTTAAAATAATCAACTTAATAAATAAACAACATTTAAAATAAACAACAAGAATATTCCACATTTTTTTACGTTCATAATAAATGACAAAAAGATTCTTTTAAAAAAAAATTTACTGTGATAGGAAAATGGGAACAAGAAACTCTAAAATCTTAGCCCCCCCTGCCCCACACATAAGAGCAACAAGTTGATGGAATTTTTTTTGTACTATTTTTAACTAGACTTAAATTTATCGAGAAATTTTAAATTTCATAGTAAAATATTTTTGTGTTCAAAAAAAATTGAGGGGGTTATTTATATATATAAGTATATATATAAACAATTTTTATAGTAAACATCACTGCAAAAAAAATACAAAAAAAACCTTCAAAATTTCTATTTATTCTTTAGAATATTTTAAGTTAGTCTGAGCAGTGTGCTTAACTCCCTAATACTTATTTGGATCCAGATTCTTTAAGTTAATAAAAATTTTAAATAAAATTTTTGTTAAATTTCATTTAAAATTTCGGCATTACCAAGCTGAGTTAATAAAAATTTTAAATAAAATTTTTATTAAATTTCATTTAAAATTTCAGCATTACCAAACTGAGTCAATAAAAATTTTAAATAAGATTTTTATATAACTCATTTTAGTAATTTTGACAATTTTTGTTAAATTTTGGCATTACCAAATTTTAACAAAAAAAAAAAATTTAGAGGCCAGGAAAATGTAAAAGAAAAATCAATTTAATTAAAATCTTTTTTTCATAAAAACAAAAGTTATAAATCATTAACCATTTAAACAACAAAAACATTGTGCAATATTCCCAAAATTTAAACAAAACATTGCGCAATATTCCCAAAATTAGTCTAAAGTAATATATTAATTATTAAGCTTTTTTTTAGTGCAATTGGAAAGTGCTGAAAGCTATTTTTTAGTGCAATTGGAAAGAACTGAAGTTTTTTTTTAGTCACTTCACACAGTATAACTGGTACTGATTTGATTAAGTTTACTTTTTTTTTATTGTATATTGGATTTATTTTATATTAGATATATATTTTATTAAATATATATTTTATGCATTTAACATGAAAAACTGACTGTAATTTGTTGACACAAAAGTGATCAACAAATTACAGTCAGTAATTTGTTGATCACTTACTTAAATAACTTTGTGCATTGTAGACTCTTTGATTAAAATTAAAAAAAATGATGTAAATAAATATTGTTTAATATTTTTGATAAATGACTTATGTATATAAACAATGCATATAACTTATGTATATCACAGTGATGTATACTATGAAAAAAACCTTAACATTTAGTAATGTAGATCATTTACATAATAATAAATTATTATTAGTTCTTTAAAATATTGTAATGTTTAATGATTTTTTACAGGAAATTTATTTATAAAACAACTTCAGAGTTTTTTACATTAAAATTCGATAACTCCATATTTGCCCCCCCCCTCCTACCTAACTTTATTTCAATATGATGTAACATTTACAGTAACATTTTAAACAGACCTGAGTTACGACTATGAAAAGTCTCATCCTTAACAAAAATAGAAAAAAATATATAAATAAAAAAAATAGAAAAAAAACTTTAAAACTTTTCTAAATTAATAAACTATTAAAAAAAAAAAAACTTTGTTTAGAATTTCACAATGACGGAATTCCTAATAATCTATAAAAACGCTCACGATCAAATAAGTTTCCATATCTTAACGAGTATACATACTTATAGGTCTTTTTATTTCCTTTATCAATATGAAGTTTTTGAAAAACATTTTCAAAATCATTATTTTCCGTAAAATCACTTTTTGGAATAACTTTTTCTATTTCAACATATTCCTCTATTCGCCTTCCATAAAAAGATAAATGAGAGATTCTAATAATATTGTCGTGTTGATTAACTGCAAGTTGTCCAACAACTTTAGTAGCAAAATAACTATAGATGATAAATAATAATACTGTACCTAAAGAACTTATACCAGCATATACCAATGTAACATCAGATATGTGACCTTCCAAATGCATAGTATACAAAGGGTAACCAACAGCAGCCATAATGGCTAGCTGGTACATTTTAAATCGAGATATTATTCCTAAAATTTTTATATGTGGAAATGTATATAAAACATCCCATTTAGTGTTCAAGTCTGATAAGCATCTGGTATTTATATTATACATGAAGTTTCTCTTGAGATTTCCATTTGGTGAAGATCGACAATGCAGTTCTTTTTTTTGAATTATAAAAACACTGTTTAAAAAGTTGTGTTTTACAGAAAATAGCTTCATTGAATTAGACTGTCGATAAACAACTTTAAAAGTATTTTTCATTGTTGAGATAAACAAAAACATTTTTAATTATTCAGCTATATAAAGAAAAATTTATTTTTCAACATAAAATAATTTCAAAAATTTTTTAAATAATTACTTAATTTTACTTTAATATATTAAAAAACAAATGATGAACAATAACTTACAAAAAAAAAATGTTAAGAGTAAACTATAAATTTTAAAATAAATAAAAAAACATTAAATACTAAATTTCTGTCAATTAGTTTTATTTATTAAAAAAATTTTATAAATAAAATAAGTTTTAAGTCTTTTAAAGTTTATTCAGCATATTTATTTTCCAAGAATATTCAAGTATTTACCACGAGTCATTTCTTTGGCTTCTTCAATACCAAGTTGATAAGCCTGATTCTTTAGTTCAAGAAACCGCTCCATGATTTGTGGAACAGATAAACTACTTAGTTCATCAATTTTTTCTAAATCAGCTTCAGTTAATTCATCCTGCTTACCATCAATATCCTTGAAATTAATTTTTTATTTAAGCTTTTAATTTTTTATTTAAAAACTTTAAAAAACCAAAAAAAAGGTTTTAAATATAAAACAAAGTATAATTTTATACTATTTATGTTTTTTTTGAAAAAGATGTTTTATATGCATTATATAATTTGTATGTATTTATTATTTATGTTTCAATTTGTAATTAAATTTAACTGTTTATATAACATTTTTGGAAACCTTTTTATTCATGTCTTCCTTAGAATATTTTATAAAGTTGATGACTTGTACTTTTCTTTCTTTTATTAAATTATTTTTAATAAGTAATAAGTTACACAAGTATGGTATTTATTTTAATTTGGACTTACAAGTATAGTACTTTTAGTTTGAGAAGCTTTAAGCAATGCTGAGAATGAAGTAACACCAGGCATTTGTTCTGGCCATAATTCTGGAGAACTTTGATCGATTCGTTCAACTTTACAGCTCAATGACTCAATTTCATATGCTTGTGATTCTTTTTTTGAATTTGACATGTTAAAATATACACCAAAAAGGATTCTAAAATAAGATTTTCTTGTAAATAAGGATTTCCTTCTACAAGAGTTTTTTTTTCAAGTTTGCTTTTTACTTTATGCCATAATTTATTACCATTATTAAATATGAAAAATGTTTTTTTTATCTAAAAATAAAATAATAAAATAAAAGTAGAACAAAAAAATATAACTTGTAAAAAAAAGAAAATATATATATAAATATATAAATATATATATATATATATATATATATATATATATATATATATATATATATATATATATATATATTTCTTGTGTTCATTAGATTGTTTTTTGTTTGAATAAATTGCCTCACTTTGGCACGAAGATATGCTACCTCTTGCGTAAGTGTACTTACATCGATGTTGTGTACCAACTGGATGCGGTAGTGGTGTAATGGTAGAGTGCTCGCTTTATAAGCAAGAGGTTCCGAGTTCGATCTCTACCACATCCCTGGTAGCACTGCACTTAACTTGTTTCTTTTAGAGCAGCTTTGTTCGTCAAGGTTTGTGTTTCAGAGTTATAGAGTTAAGAGAAGGTTATAACCATAATTAAGTAGCCTCCTTATTTCTAGTGGCCTTCTCGACCTTGGGGAGGTGAAGTAACAAAAAAAAAATTATTATTTTATTAAGTTATAAAACCTAATTTTAATTTATTTTATTAGTTCAAACCATTTAACTAATAAAATAATTTATTTACATGTTTACGGTTTTTTTAATATTATTTAAGATCAGAAAGTATATTAGGAAACTTTAGCCTTGGTATAGTTATGTTAAACACATGTGGAGAAGAAACATTAGTTACAAAACTTTTTTTTAATTTGATAGAAGTTAAGGCTTCCATTAAATTGCAACAGACGTAACAGTAATACAGTAAGCAAACTCAAAACAAGTCATAATGCCTAACAGAACTGTCATTGAAAAATGGGGCTTTTAATACTGTGGATTTCAAACTGATAATTCAGGTGAAGTAATTTTAATATGGTGTAAAACTTGCCAAGAGTATTTAGAGCTTTAAAAAAATTATCATAATAAAAATAAAGGCTGTGCTAAATTAGCAACAGAAACGTTTGTATAGTTTTGTATAGTTCATACTATACTACAATTAAATATTGAAAAACACCACCCCTACTACTGGAGAATTAAATGCTTATTTCTTTTCGCCTACAGCACATAAACTAAATTTGTATTTCTAAATGACATTCTTTCTATGAGCAATCTACAAAATCAATTAAAATGTAATAAATAAACTATGACCATTTTTTTGTAAAAAAAGACTTTAAAACTAAAAAATCACTAATTCATAAATTTGCTATTTACTTAACTTACTAAACAAAATTTAATTGCTACATTCTTTAAAATGTTTTTGTCTGAAGCTATGCTATTATAAAGCAATCCTTTTATAATCATTTAACCATTACCCCTATCGTAACAGAAAGTAAAAAATCCCTTCTTTTTTTTTTGCCGAACTGACATCAGCACGCTTACTGACCATTTTGCAGATGCATCGGGCTTGGTAACTATCGGCCAATGTCAGTCGTTTTGGAAAATCAGTTTTTTCATTTTTATGTTTAAAATCAAGAAATGTAAAAAAAAAATAAAATAATAAATTGAAATGAAAAAAATTTCTGAGATGTTTTTCTTTTTGGTAGGGTTGCCACACAGTTTGCCACAACAGTGTTGATGTTTGAAAAGTGTACATGTCCAAATTAAATTTTTCTAGCAAGGTATGATTATAGTGTACTCAAAAAAGTATTTCACAAAATTCGAAAAGCATGTCCTGAAAAGGTGGTTATTGTGAGAGGAAAAGTTTGTGTATTTTTCTCTCATTAATACATATGGGTCATTCCATGTCAACTCAACCAGTGATGTTCACCACACCATCTCAGATCTTCCTGAAATTTTCAGGGCTTGCAGTTCATACAAAGTTAAGCAATTGCTGAAAATTTTAGGCTATTTGCTCAAAAACTTTTAAAGATATAATTTTTTAAAGTTTTAAGGGTTGTCGCGAGTTCACATGACTTTTACATTTTCACGATATGTAAACGTGAATATTTCAAAAACTCAAACAGGTATCAGGCTGAAATTTTCAGCATTTACTCATTTTTTCATGCTGAGTTGATTGGTGTTTTTATATCAAATGTAGCTTGCATACAATATCCCCTAAAAATGTCCAAACTTTGGACATTTTTAGGGGACTGCACTTTAGACAGTTTTCACCAATATTTGACCCGATATAGCCAAGAACCTATAAAACATGGAATGATGTTTGTCATATTATTAATAAGTAATATATATGTGTTTATTATTTTCATAGAAAATTCATGTTAATCGATAAGAGTGTACTCATTGTAGGCACCGTTATGCATCACGGTCATCAATTTTTGTGCGCATTGCGACCCCCAGATGACAATGTTGACAGTTATTTACACATTTCATTTAATTTCCACACTTATTAACCTCAGTAAGTACTTGTTATGGTGAAAATTTTATTTTGGTGTCTTGCCTCCTTCTTGGTGAAAAATCTGCAAGATTGAATATTTTCAAATGAATTTTTTGTTTAATATTTTATTTAGGTATTTCATATTATTAATATAGTTATTAATTTTTTTATTATTATTATATTTTTTTTAGGTATTTCATTTTTTTAATAGAAAACATTTATAAACATGTACTAAAAGTTTTATTGAATTATGAGAAAGTAGCATGTAAATTTGTATGTTTTTTTAGTTGAATTAGTATGGAATGTTTTTATAAAAATATGTTATCACATTTTTTTTATATTTGATATAGATTCAATATTTACTGAATATGGCTGAACTGTCATTGTGCACATTTGGACTGTTGCTTCAAGATGAATGCCACAAGACAGTTCATACACGCAGTGTTGGTTTGCATAACCTGTCAGAATTATCCAATGCTAACTTTGAATTGTTGATGTTAAGAACCAAGCCTAATAATCAATTTCAAAGAGAGAATTGCAATATATGCTTCCACCACAAACAGGTTCTACTTGAAAAATTTGATAAATTGCAGCAGAGTTGTTGTGATTCATTCAATAAACATCAATGCAAAGTCACAAAGTCACTGAGGGCAGTCAGTATTGACAAAGCCAAGGAGCTAACACTAACAACTGGGAGATACATCAAACCTGATGAGAAGCTATGCCCAAGCTGTCAAAAGTATGATACATCCCAGGAACCTGAACAGAGTTATGGACATTCAGCTAGTGATACCGATATAAAAGACATTGACTTGCATCTTTCTCAACTAAATGACAGTATAACAAGCATTGGCTGCACACCAGTTAAGCTTCATGCAATGCCTGTTTGAAGTAGAATTTCATATGCCAAACGTAAAATTGCAACTGCAACAACAGAGATCCAGAAGAAAGTAAGCAAAGTCATCCAAGTACCTCTTAATCTAGTTGTGAATTAAGGCGATGCTACAGAATGTGATGGTTGCAATGACTTAATGAAACTAGTGATTGAAACACTAGCACCATCTAGCTGGAGCCAACAAAAAGTCTCACAGGAATTTGGAGTATCCAGGCACGTCATTAAGCAAGCGAGAAAACTAAAGAAGTTATGTGGAATTTTGACAGACCCACAGAAAAAACATAACAAAGTTCTCCCAGATGATGGGATTGAAAGTGTACATAAATTTTTTGAAGATGATAAAATTTCCTGCATGTGTCCAGGTCAAAAGGAATTCTTGTCAATCAGAATTGATGGTGAACTTGTTCATAAACAAAAATGTCTTCTACTTCTGAACCTCAAGGAGATGCATGTAGAATTCAAAAAACGAACTGCAATGAAAATTGGACTAAGTTTTGTTCACTGCGACCACCATGATGCATTACTGTTGACTCGAGTGGTGCCCATGCAATCTGTGTCTGTCTCTTTGCATTATAAGTGATGACCGTGAACATGTAGCACGTACAATCCATGCCTTCATTTAAATAGTGCTGACATTTCTTAGGAGCAAAATGCCTGATTTTCAGAAAATAGTTTACTTCAGTGATGGAGCAGCAGCACAAAATAAAAACTGCAAAAACTTAAAGAATCTGTGTATGCTTAAAACAGATTTTAATGTTGAAGCGGAGTGGAATTTTTTTTGCTACCAGTCATGGAAAAAGTCTTTGTGATGGTATATACAGTAAAGAGGCTAGTGGCAAGAGCAAGTTTTCAGGCAACTCTGCAACATCATACAAATACTAACACCACATCAGATGTGCGATTGGGCAACCAAAAACATTCCAGGAATTCACTTTTTTTTTGCAGCAAAAGATGACGTCAAGGTGCATCGTAGCTATTTGGTTGAACAATTTGCTTCAATTCAAACTGTTCCTGGCACACGTTCACACCACCGGTTTGTGGCAGTAAGTGAAAACAAACTGAAGATATTCAGTTTGTCATGTGATGACAGGTACAACCGTCAATGTGTCACCAGAACCTAGCCTGGCAGTTGAACCGCCATCAAGTATAACAGATTTTCATCCAGGACAGTTTGTGGCTGTTGTTTATGACACTGATTGGTTTATTGGTTGCATAACAGAACATTCTGATGAACATCAAGATATCTTGGTAAAGTTCATGAAAAGAACACCTACAAACAGATTAACTTGGCCACATCATGAAGATATCTGCTGGATGCCATTCACTAATGTACTGTGCAATTTTCCACCACCAATGTTGTCTGGCAGTTCAGCAAGGCAGTATTTCTATGATGATGAGCATTTTGACATTTGCAAGAAACTGTTTGATAGTAGAACTGTGTGTAAATAGATATAATACCAACAGTTAAATGCATTGGCACCATATGCTGATATCGCTTTACATGGTTGCTTGTATTGTTGATAAAAACAGTCTATAATTTGATTTCGTAACTATTTTTTCATAAAATTTAATTGACAGTTCATTGCTTTGATGATCTACCACAATACACTTTAATGTACAGAAAATATTTTAAAAAAAAACTTAACGAAATATGGTTTTAATTAGCAATTCATTTAGTAGGAAAGGCTTGAGACACCAACATGAAATTTTCACCATAGCTAGTACTTACTGAGGTTAATAAGTGAGCATATGAAATGTATGAATTGCTGTCAACATGGTCATCTAA